CCCCAACCCTCATCCCCTCGTTACCGGTACCTGGACCTGCTCTTCGCCCTCCTGGGCGCTGCTGCTTTCTTGGCAGACCTGGTCGCTGATCTGTGGGTGGCCTCCAGCTACATGCAGGCTGGGCACTGTCTCTGGGGGGGGCTGGTGCTGGCACTGCTGGGCCTCTCCTCCCTGGCCATGCAGTTCTTCAGCTGGGCCTGGTACCAGACGGACGACATCGAGCAGGACCTTCCCAGTGGCTGCTGCCTGGCTGTGGTGCACCTCCTCCAGCTGGGCTATCTCTACAGGTAAGGGCACTGCGGAGGGTGAATGCAGGTTAAGTGCCCCCTGCCCAGTAACTCACCCTCTGCTGAGATCTTGCAGCCCAGGGCCACCTGTCCTTCACCCTGACCTCAGCTGGAGAGGGGTCCAGAAGGTTCCTGCAGGCCCTGCTGCTGGGCACACACAGATCCTGGAGGGAGGAAACTAACGGTGCCAGAGTGAATGGTGATTTCCTTAGGCACAAGTGGGTGGGAATACCCCTACCTGTTCCCCTGGCTCAGAACTGCAACACTAGCCTGGTGGCAGGTGCTGGACTGGTCTGCACATCCCAACAGCACCTTCCCTGTGCCACTGGTGCTCTGCATTTGCAGCCTTCTCCCCAGTGCGGTGAACACACATTTTGCCTTGCCTTGCCCTTCATCATCACAGCTGCTGTCACTTCCATGGGTAGGTAGCCTGCTCCATATAGGCTAGATTTGAATTTCCCACTATAATTTACAAATAAAAACTACACTACACTGGAGTTGAGGCTGAGCACATGTCAGTAACCAAAGGGTTAAAATATCACAATGGGGCTGTAATTATCCCCATACCAGCTGTTACAAACTCAGGGTTAAGGTTCAACTGAAATCCAAAGAGCGAGGGTGTGGAAGTGCACAGTCAAGACACCTGTATTCCTGCCTGGTAGTGAGGCCCCTCAGTAATTCTTAGTGCACTGTAGGGTTGTGGTCCCAGATGAAGCTGATTTTGAAAGAACGTAATTTTGTTCATTTTCCCCTCCTTGGTGCCCCTCCATTATACAAACAGTAACGTGCTGGTCAGGGACTCGTTCGGTAGGTGGCAGGGCTTGGTTGCGGAGGGGCAGCTGCAATAGGTGACAACATGAGGAAATGTCAGAACTGTGTGACTCCCTGGTGCTAACACATACAAAACAGTGCATGTTTTTGTCTTTATTCCCAGCATGCACAAGGAGGCCAGGTCTACAGTAAGGCTTGGTCTACACCAACTTATATCGGTATAGCAACGTCCCTCAGGGGTGTGGATCTCCCACGCCTGAGAGCGACCTAGTCCCCAGTGTAGATAGTGCTGTCGATGGAAGGGCCTCTTCTGTTGCCATAGCCACCGCCTCTCGGACAGGTGGTGTTCCTATGCCAGTGGGGGAAGCTCTCCCTTGGTGTCTTCACTAAGTGCCACAGTGCCATAGCTGCACCCTGTGCCGTTGCAGCGCTTAGGTGTAGACAGGCCCTTACGCTTCTGCAGTGTAGCAATGTCAGTCAGAGGTGGATTTGTTTGCAGCACTGCTATTCTGGCAGATCACCTAGTATAGACGTGGCTGTATACATAAAAGTGCGTTAGCCAGTATAGGTGACTTTGTTTGTGGAACTGGTATAAGCAGAAGTTATACCTCCAGGAGGAGGGTTTGCTCGTATAGCTACACTGGCACAGTTATACCAGCAAACCTTTTCTGCTTGAACTAGGCCTAAGTGTGAAACACACTCAGCTCCCTCAGGCCTCGCCTGCACGACCTCAGGTCTGGGGTTGACTGCACCGGTACAGTCCAGTGGCAAGCGCAGAGAGCAGTGGTTCAGCTAACCTGGTTGTTGAAGCTGTGCTGTTTTCTGGTGCAGAGGAGACCTAAGCTACTGCAGCTGCCTTGTCAGTTCCAGCCATTTTCCCTAAAATGTCCCACCTTTGCTAGCTGGTTTTGCTCTTCTGGGAGTAGTAGCACCAGGAATGCTAGTGTAGACAGTACTCAGAGGCCACCATCCCATTTCCTAGACCTGCTTGGGTATTCTGCTGGCAGACCCCATACGCTAGTTGTTGCGGTCACAGGGGGTGCTGCAGAGCTAGTAACTAAGAAAAGGCTGATGCAGACAGCCTCAATGCTGCGCTGGGCTCATGTGGGCCTGTCCCTCTCCAGCACCGCCTCTGGCAGTACCCCATGTTCTTCTCTTGGTGGAGTGTTTCATTCATTCTCTGCCCAGGGCACAGAAACAAACTGCTGAAGTTCCCAGGGTTCTCTGCACACTGGCGCTGTGTTTCAGGCCGCCACTGGCAGGTTCAGTATCCTGTGTGTAAAAAGCAATGTCATTTCCTGCATTTGAACCTATGGTTGTTAAAACTGGGCGGACTGTTTGCTGTTCACCACTTGAGCTGATTGCTGGGGGTTGTGCTTTGTTCAGCTGGGACAAGGAAAGTAGACAAGTCACTTTCTCTTTTGGTTCTGGTCCGGTTCTAGTGGATTTCAGGTCACTCTGTGCAGTGCTCCTCGCTGCAGTGTTTGGGTTGCAAATACTTCAGGGGAATGTTAAACCCAAACCAAAAGTTGTTTTCATTGGAACTGGGGAGAAAATGATGCCCCTGGATTTCTTTCTTCTGATGGTAGATTATTAATACAGCCTAAACTTTGGACCTAAAGTGACTTGACAAGTGAGTGTGAGATCTCAGCCTGTCAAACGCAGCCCAAAGCCCCCCAAATGAGTGACACTCTGAAGTTATTCATGCAGGAAACGTAACCTGCTGAGGGACCCTGGCGTTAGCATATGCTCTGTAGCATCCATATCATGAATGCTGACTGGCGACGTAGATAGTTGTCCATAATAGAAGTCAGGGAAAAGCAGATACTGGGGATTAAAATGAGATCTCCCTTGACGTGAAGGGCATGAATGAGTGTCTCATTCACTTTGTCCAGCACAGATTTAGAGCTGTCTTGAGGGCAGGCTGGCTCTGGAATCCCACGCCCTAGTGACAGACAGGCAGGGCTGTGTTTGTGGCATTGAGGTGCTGCCCTGGTGTAGAGCAGCCTCTCATGGCAGGGCTGTGATGTCTGCACAGGTGTCTCCGTATGCTGAGAGTGGGCTGGCGAGTATGCAGGGCAGAGACTGCACCACAGCAGGAGCGAGGCTACGCTGTCTTCCTGTCCCACGACATCAGCATGCTGCGCCTCTTTGAGACCTTCCTGGAGAGCACCCCTCAGCTCACGCTTGCTCTCTCCATTGTTCTGCATACAAACAAGGTGGAGCTTTTCCAGGGTGAGTGGCACAGCTCCTGGGCATGGTGGGGGCAGGGCACTGGGGATTCCTTATCACAGAGCCACCTGGTGAGGAGTGGGTGAGTGGGATAAGGGAACGATCCCTTGAGCTTCTTCAGCTCTGGCTTCTAAAGGATACGAGAGCTGGGCCTCGTTCTGGAGCCCATCGGTCAGACTGGAGAGGTGCTGATTCTCCCTGGGAATGTAGCTTGACCCCTCCTGCCCACAGTGTCTTGTGGTCCCAGCCCTAGGGGATTTCTCGCTAGGCACCGCATTAGCTCAGAGCTGGGGTTGAGCGTCGTGCAGGGCCGGGCTCCAGTTAGAGAGCTGCCCAGTGTAGCAGGGCGGTGAATCCCTAGAGGCTCGGTACCTTCTGCTTGCATTGGCTCTGCACCTGGGACGCCCTCTGGCCAGACCCTGCAGCGTTAGGAGGGAGGTTGGGATGTGCTGTGCTGCAAGGAAGGGGGTTCTGGCTGCTGGGAGACTGGACTGTTACCTAGTCGCAGGTGTTTCCATTTCATGCTAATGTGCCCATCTCAGATGCCGCAAAGCAGCCTTCTGAGAAGAGGGGAGGGGTTGGGATTTTGGTGCCCATGGGGAGGGATCCTCTCTGGGAGGTGGTAGGCAGAACACTCTGAACAAGAGGGGCCAAAGCAGGGCCCTGCATTGAGCCGAGACCTTGCTTCAGCCGGGAAAGGGGTGTGTTGGGCCCATGGAGCCGTGTGCCTAGCCAGGTACAGGCGTGGCATCTCCCTGCGTCTGGGCACATGTGGGGTGGGCAGTGCCCTCGGAAATTGATTGGCTCTCAGAGCTTCCCAGTGGGACACAAAACTGGGCCAACCCTGAGCCCCCAGCTCAGTTGAGGGCCAGATGCTATTCCATTGACTCCAGCGGGTCAGGATTTCCCCCGAGTGTTTAGTGCTTGGCTGCAGGGGGCAGCACAAATCAGGCTTGGTTCAATCCCTCCCTCCAGGCTGGGCTTCCTTAGTCAGGAAGTAGCAGGGTGCCTCTGGCCTTGGCCTCAGAGGCTTGTCACTGTGGCCCAGGTCCTGTGGCTATACCTCACTCGGTCCTAAATGGAGATGGCTGAGTCATCCTCCCAGCCCCATGGTGCCCCCCGTGCCCCTCCCCCCCGGCTGTTGGCATCCGGGCTAAGGAGGGCTTCCCCGAAGCCCTGCACTTCTCTTCTGGTGCTGCCTCATGGGGGTGGGGAACTCCCATTCCAGGCATCTCGCAGGGCGTGGAATAAGGGCTGGCCTGTGGCTGGGTACTTCCTAAGCGTTTCTGGGGCTCCCTGAAACAGGAAGTGGCATGTTTCAGTGCAGGCCTGTGGGGCGGGCGAGCGAAGTGTGCAAGGGACCTGAGAGCAGCTGTGACACACAGCCCTCCTGCTGGGGGGGCCCTTGAGAGCAGTGGGCTTTGTTCGTTGATCCAGGGCCTGGTTGCAGTGATGCCTCGTTGGGGTGAAGCCAGCACCTCTCCATGCTGGTCACTGTTGCCCAGGGCCTGAGCCACTGCCTGATGCCCCATGCAGCTGCCCCCACTGCCTGTGTTCCCCGGTGACCTTTTCTCCCGCTGTTGTCATAGGGCTCGGGATTTGCACTGCCTCCCTATGCGTGGCCTGGTCACTACTGGATTATCACCAGTCCCTCCGCTGCTTCCTGTTGGACAAGCATGAGCTGGGCCCGCTCTCCTCCACCATCTACTTTCTGTGGAATTTCCTCCTCCTCTGCCCCCGCGTCCTGGTAGTCGCACTCTTCGCCACACTCTTCCCGTGCTACATCGGCCTGCACTTCCTGGGCATCTGGGCTGCCATGCTCCTCTGGGTCTGGCTGCAGGGCACTGCCTTCATGGAGTGCCCCAGGCGGGAATGGCTCTACAGGGCAACGGTGGCCGTGATTCTATATTTCTGCTGGTTCAATGTGGCCAAGGGGCAGACGCGGCAGCGCAGCGCAATCTATCATGGCTTCATCCTGGTGGACAGCGTGCTCCTCGCTGGCTCCTGGCTCTGGTACAATGCCCCTCTTCGTGAGCGCTCCTATCTGCTCCCTGTGCTTCTCGCTGCCCTGGTCTGCTCTGTGCTCGGGCTGCTGCTGAGAATCACCTACTACAAGTGGCTCCACCCCACGCTGCAGACCCGGCGCCAGGCGAGCTATGATGAAGTAGACACTGCAGAAGGACTAGCCGATTTCCGAGCTGGCCCAGCGCCGGCCCCTGTGAACAGACGAATGTACCAGCTGTCCCAGAACCACTTCTTGGTCTCTTTGCAGGCCGGGCAAAACTGGGGGAATGGTGTCCTGGATGACATGTCTCTCTGAGCGCAGCTGTCCCTGCTCCAGGCAGCGGATTTACACCTCAGGGATCTGTGCTGGGGGATCCCATTCCAGACCTGGCTCCAGCGTTCCCAGGGACCGAGCACCACAGCTGTGGCAGGGAGAGGAGATTGGAGAGAGCTGGGCGGGCTGAGAGCACTGGCACTTAGTAGCTGTGACCCCTGTTCTGGGCTGGCGCTTTTCCAGTGGGAAAGGCAATGCAGCAAGTGTTATGGGAGAACCCCGCTATAAGAGGGTTGGCTGCTGAGTGGGCTCAGCACCATGTTAACCCTTTATTGTTAGGCCCCTGCCCCGGGATCTGCTCCACTACAGCAAACTCCTCACTTCTTCCTGCTGGTTTCTGTGGCCTCCCCACTTCTGCTCTGCACACTGCCCTGTTTAGCCCCATCCCCATTTCCCTGCCAGGCTCTCCCCTGTTTTGTTTCAGCAGAGTTCAATGGGAAACTGTGTGCTGTTCTTGGCAGGACCTGCCAGATTTTCCATTTGTCTGGGATTTCCCGGCACTTGTGTTTTGTTGCTGATTTCAAAGCTTCCCTGTAGTAGTGGGTAACCCATGGCACTGCTGGAGGGTTTTCCAGCCAGCTGCAAAAGGTCAGCACCAGCTGAAACAGTGTGGTGGGAGGGAGCTGGAGGCCAGGATGGACGACTTGTTGGTGCCACCTGCCCCTTATGCCCAAGCAGTACAGGATGACCCTGAGCGCCTACCCCTAGTAGCCACCCATCTGGTGTTGTGCAGGAGGGTTGGAAATCCAGATCAAAAGCTTCCCCAACAGCCTCAGCCCTATCCCCACCCCCACCAATCTCACACCACCCCAAGGGGCAGGGCAGGGAGCTGTGGGTCTACACATGAGATGTGCCTTGTGGGGCAAGGGAGGGAAACCCTTTTCCCCACATGGCCCATACTGGTGAAACATCCCCTGCACCTGGGGGGGCTTTCCCCTCCCACTCTGGATGGCCCCATGGTATTTCCACACCGTCCTTCAGGCCCATGGGTGGGGCAGGAGTGGAGGCGCTGTCCCCGTTATTCACAGGCGAGAGGGGTGCTGCCTTTGGCTGTGGAGTAATTTGTTTCCTCCTCTTTCCATACCTCCTGTGAGAATGACTGTGGGTTGCTAGAGCCCCAGAAGGTGGGCAAATGAGTCAGGCAGACACTCAGAAGGGGTTTTTCCCCGAGGCAGGACTCAAATTTGCTAGAGGCCTGGAGCATCTTGTGTCTCTGCCGGGTGCAGCCCAAAGCACATGCCTGGGAAAACGTCATGAACTGGCAGCACGGGGACTGGGCCCACCCAGGTGGGGAGGTGGGTAACTGCACACGAGACTGGACTGGGACAAGTCCTGCTCCCAGCTGGCCTGTGCAAAGCAGGGTGGATTGATTAACATCAATTATTTAAATCAACTTCTCCAGTTGTGTTTCAGTCATTTTCTAACGGAAGTGAGATAAACATGTTGATTTACAATCCCATAGCGGCGTGACACTAGATTTGGAACATCTTTTTGCTACCTCAGAGCGTACACTACAACGATGTACATTTATGTAAGCAATTATACAGCTTAATATTTTCAGATTCTTAACTGTACATTTTTAGTATGTTAGAAAATGGTGATTTACTAGAGAACTTTTTGCTCATTTGTGTCAAGCTGTGTTAGGATGGTAACTGGAATTTCAACAAACAAAACAATATAAAATTTATTTTTATTAAACAAAACTACCTTAAAAGTTGTTTTACTTAAATGTCTTATCAAAACATGTTTCACATTTATAACAATGATTTAATCAAAGAGAGGGATTAACTGGTCAGTGAATTAAACTGATTATTTCAGATGTTGTGATAATCGTCTAAAACTTTTGCCTTCTTTGGAATTTACATGGAAAGCAGGTCAAGTTATTTTCAATAAAGAAAGCATGTTATAAACAGGTGCAAGAGAACCAGACCAAGTAAACCAAAAAGGCCATTCTGATATAATCCAAAGACTGTTGAAATTATGTTTGTTAAAAACAGATGATGGAGCCAGAAGTTAATATACCAAAATTGGTGTGCCTTGCATCTTTTCGGTGCATTGTTTACATTCAGCACTTGTTCTTTTTTTTACCCAGAGGTACGGGAATCTCTCAAAAATATTCTAATAGGGTCTTTTTTACAACCTGCAGCCATGGTAGCTATTTCCCCCCCCCAGTTTCCAGGTGTTGAAATCAGAACTAAGGCTGCACACAAGAATCTTGTCCCTTCTTCCCAGTGCAGTTTTGACACTGGTGTTGCTCCTTTCTGGTTGCACAATCTGCTCCTTCTCCCCTGTTACATAACTTCCCTGCCCCCCCCTTCTACCTTTAGCCCCCCCACCCCCCAAGAACTAACAGCAATCCAAGACTTCTGCTTGTGTAACCCACATGCCTGTTGCACTGCAGTATTGCACTTGTTTAGAGACAGAGGGAGCAGTTCAGAAGTTAGTGGATGTCTGTGCACACACGCAAGGCCATTTACTGGAAGTGCCCAGCCCCATCCAGAAGCAAGGGCTGGGAGTTACTAGGCAGATCAGTGTTTTTTCATGAGCTGGAGAATAAGTGTCCATAGCGGATGGAGTCATAAATATTCATAATTTGAGAACTGAGGCCATAAGGGCTCAGGTAGGGACAAGCTATAAAAAAGGAGTATGAGATCCCCACCCCCAGGAAGGCTCAATGGATGATCCTGATGAGATACATGATGGCATATCCTAGAGTCAGAGACTGGGTCTTTTGCACCCAGTAGCACATCCCCAGGTCCCCCACAGGATCAAGCCATTAACGCAGCTCCAGACCTATTGTGCCATATTTATAAAGCTTGACCTCAGAAGTTAGAATCGGGGGAAAACATCTTTCTTTCTACAGAAAAACAGCCTTTAACCTAAAGGTTTTGCTAGAGGCTCATGGATTCAGCATAGTTATTTGTTATTTAAATGTTTAAGAAATAAGAAGTTTTGGCTGTAACAGATTTTGTATTAAATTTAGATTTCATTTTAAACAGGTTTATTTTTAAAAATAAAAACATAATTTAAACATCAAAAAAATGCCATGTAAGTCACAGAACTCATCAATGTTGCGGCATGAGCAATTGTGGTTCTCTGTCCAGCCCACGCAGCAAGCATAAACTACCCCATGTTGGCAGCCACAGCACAGAGGTAAAAGTCTTGCATGAACCATGAACAGCACGCTCCTCATTTGCCCTGAGAGATGGCCCCTCCAGGGCAGGGTTCAGGGTTCAGAATTCTCCCCGGCCTATAATCAGCTCCAGGGCTGTCATATTGGATTTTAAAGCCAGCTGGGTGGCTTTAGTGCCATTTACACTGAACATAAGACCGGCCGTACCGGGTCAGACCAAAGGTCCATCTAGCCCAGTATCCTGTCTTCCGACAGTGGCCAATGCCAGGTGCCCCAGAGGGAATGAACAGAACAGGGAATCATCAAGTGATCCATCCCGTCGCCCATTCCCAGCTTCTGGCAAACAGAGGCTAGGGACACCATTCCTGCCAGGGTACAATTCCTGCTGGGCGGGGATGTGACAGTCAGGTTTTCAGAGAATAGACCATAGCAATTATTACAGAAAATAGACTTTATTTTTCCAGTTTATAGGACAGTTCCCATCTCACAGAACATGACTGGTCACGGAATCCACAGCCATTAATGCCCTCAGTCACATACATACACTGCAACCAACACCTGGTTCTGTGTAAGGCATCTGGCGGGTCCAGAGGGAACCACCTGTTTGCTAATATACTCGAGTACAAAGGGGTAATGCAGCCCTGCCAGGGCACTGGGAACCAGCAAGCATCAACAGGCTGGTTTTTAAAGTAACGGGGCTACAGCAAAGCTGAGGACACAGACTTTACCGACTCAGCCTGGAGGGCAAAGGAATACTCAGAGGGAGCATCTTAGGGGGCTGTGCCGCTTTTCCAGCTTTAGAATTTGACACAGTGCTGGTTAAATTACAATCAAATTGAAAATAATCAAAAAGCAACAAAACAGCAGGCATTTTCAAACAATCCTCTTCTGAAGAGAATCCCACGCCTGCCAGCTCCCTAGAGAAGGGACAAGTCTCACAAATGCAGCCAGCCGTGGAAAGAATAAAACAGCCAGATTAACCTTTATTAATGTAACACAGAAATGTACCATCAACCTCCTGGTAGAAAAGTATTTTACATACATTCGAGGAGACATCGTATAAATATCGCTAAGAAATATCACTGGCTGCAATAGTTTCACACTCAGCCTAAGTTTTGCTGAGGTCTTAAAGGTTTCTTAAAATAATCGGAAGTAAACAAACACAAAGCAAAGCCTGCCAGCTATCTGACTGCTCAGTACCTTGGCTTCTACGCTCACTACGAGCACCGGGGGATCCCCCCCAAGGCAGGGCTCCCCTGCAGTTCTACTTTGTACAATGACTGAAGTGAAGGGGGAGTTTCCCGAGGTTAAGGCACAGGTTTCAAATCCCAAGTTAAGCTCACTGAAGTATGACACATGTTCCAAACAGGCTCAGTTTCACAGGACAAAGTGCCTCAAGCATGTTTACAAGAGAGCTTCTGGCCAGCTAGTGACCCTCACCAGTGAGAGATGCTTATGGAAACCAGAACGGATTCTCCTTTGATCATCCAAAGTAGACTTCTCATCTTCAGACGCACACAGCATCTGTGTCTTTGGAAACTATGCATTTTCATGTGGCTAATTTCCTGCTGGCTCCTCTCCATTCTCGGTGGTTAATGTAGTAGCTAACCCTTCTATGGGCTTTATTTTACAAACAGGTGCTTTAAGGAGCTGAGAACAGGGCAACTCCAGGACCTCCTGTCACACATAGGACACCCCTCGCCACACTCCTCTAGCCTCCCCAAACACAGGGGCACCACCATATACAGTGCATGCCTTCCCTGCCCCGAGTCCTTCTCCCCCAGCACACAACATGTTAGGAAGAGCAGGGACAATGGGGTCTCCTCCCAATGTCAGTGTGTAAACCTCACTGGGGTAATGGCAGCAACACGAGCAAGAGTGTATCTGAACACTACATGACCAGGCAGCTTCCCTCAGGCCGCCAATGCAGGGAACAGAGCAGTAGTTACAAATACAGATGTATTTCCAAACATTAGGACAATTCCCATATAATGAGCCATAAAGTAACTACTCACTGTTGAAACTGGCGTCACAGATTCTCTACCAGGGAAGATGCTTCCCAGACTGAATGGTTTCTATGTACACGGCACTAAACACATGGAAGAAGTCTCCTGGGGAGCCAGCTACAAATGCACCCAGCTCTGGAGTATATCAGCTTAAGGTCAGAGTGCAAAGCTAGTGCCTAGTGAGTGGATATTACAAGAAAGGCAGGCTCCTAGTCCCAGAGCTCCCTTTGGCAGTTGGGAGATGACATTGCTTATTTGTTGTTTGATCAAGGAGGTCAAAGATCTAAATATACCTGAAATCCAGAGACCCCCATGCTTTCCCAGTTCTCACCACTTTGGCTCTGCCTAGATTAGCAAACCCATCCAGCTGTCCCAGGGTTAGCAGGGTGGGGAGCCCTAGTCTAGAGGGGCCACCTGCTTGCCACCAGTTTTTCAGTCATTGTTTCTCCTGACCCTGTTCAGAGCTGACAGTGCTTAGAACAGTGGCAGCAGCCAGCGGGCTCTCCACAGGAGGCTCCGGCACTGCCAACACCCGTGCAGCTGAGCTGGTGCTAGCCATAATGCCGAATTCTCAGAAAGTGTCTCTGGCACAGACAGGGCTTGCTGCCAGTGGATTTCCTTAGAAATGCATGAGCTTGATGGCATGGGGGAGTAGGACAGACACTTTGGTAGCTATGGCCAAAACATGCAGCTGCTCAGTGTCCCTCTCAGTGCGTAGCTCTTTGGAGTGAAGTGCTGAGCTTCCCAGACCATCCCCTCTACAGGTTCCAGATCAGGGATCAAGGGCTGTCTAGGGAGCTCAGGATGTCTAAAGATGGGATCCTCTCGATACCTCAAACCTTTCGTATCCCAGCTGAGCACGAACAGCAGAGAGGATGCGTTGCTGCTGGGCATGAGAGGCTCCTACATTGTACACAGGAACCTCCGAGTAGCTACATGTTCAGGTGCTGCCATGGCACATGCTTAGGAAAGAGTCAGAAGAATTTCACATGGGATGGGGAGAGCTATGCAGAACAAAGCCCTGCAGCTAACACTGGAACTGGCCTCTGACATGAAGCCCCTGACTTGGAGGTGACAATCTCCAAGGTCTAACACATGGCTGGTACTGAGCAGGGTGGTGCTAAGATACAGGTCTTCTCACTGGGAGTTGATGTCACTTACGCCCTAGCAGAAAGGTCAATGTAGCTACAATCCGTGTCTGGGTGCAGTGGGGGTGGGTGGGTGAGTGTCTCCACTCATTGCTAGTGGCTCTCGGTCTCAGTTGTCCTAGAAAACAGAATTCCACTGACAAATGGATTTTTGTTGGGTGTAACTGGAGCTGTAGTGTAGTGGAAAGAGAAATCCAAGCAACTGAACCTGATTCTGCCAACAGGAACTTAATGGACACGGATGGAACTGGAAGAAACAGCCCAGAAAGCCCATTGACATTTCTTTTCCTAATATAATTTGAAAGAATAATTGTGCCTTAAATCACTGGTGGCCAAGTGAAGAACCTCCCACCACATCAGCAGCGCTGAATGAAATACAGCATGTTCCTATAGCGCCCATCACTCTGTAGTCCAGATCACTGGCCATTAGCGAGGCTAGAAATTGGTAATTCTTAGCTGGGAGACAGGGCCCAGGGGAAGGGGTCTGTGGTGACTGAATAGAGACCCAAGGGTTCACTAGGAAAGCCGATCTTTTCCTATACGGGGAACTACAAGTCCTGGATACATGCCCTTCTCCCTTGTTACTATTCAGTGAAGCTGCCTTGGAACAAAACAATCTAAAGAAATGGCACTAAATTAACTCTTCTGAACAGACGGGGCGGGGGAGGGGCTCATTTGCACAGTGACAGAGGTATATTTGTCATTTTCATTAATATTTCCCATGAAAAATTAACAGACTTTTTGGCCTTGCAAGATGGGGAAAGTTCAACCCTGCCCCAGATGCTAGACTCTTTTCTATAAAAATAATGTCTATACATTCACTGTGGGGTCTATAACTACGTTGGTTAGAATGGGAGAGGGATCTTACAAAAGTCTGCTGCTATTATATTACCACAAGGATATGCACAGTGAATCTCTGGAGATTACCAACTAGAGCTCCTTAACCTCAGCCATTCCCTTCTTTAGAAAACAGAGAACAATTAAAGACTGTAGCTATACTGTGTCTGCTGCTTTGGGTAAACCCCTTTGTACCTGGCAGTACCCGTGCTCCCGAGGAAGTGACTGGGTGTCACCTCCTACTGTAGAGTTTGCATAAGCTACATTTCTTCATCAAGGTGAAAAGAAAGCTCCCAGATAGACAAGATTTCTGCCCCTCCTGGAGAGGGGCTTGAAAGGAGCTACATTTGCTCTTCTCAGCTTCTTACAGGAAGTCTAGCTCGAGGGCCTGGTGAAGGGACACAAGGTCTGCATGGTTCGTGATCCTCCAGAAGGGCATGTTGTGCTGCAACAGACAGTTACAAAACCACTGTTACAGAACAGCTATCCATCTCCACATAGTCACATCAAAGTGCACAGGTCGAGTTTGACAATGCAGTTCCAAAGCTGACAGGCCCTAGCATACAGTGGGCCACGAGGATTCCGCTGGCCTGTTCCCGCCCATGCTACCCACACCTCTGTGTTCAGGATGAACAAGGCTGCAGTCAGCTGGGTTACAGAAGGTGCTGACCTCAGGCTTTGGGCAAGCTGCTGCTGCTCTCAGAGGACAGTTTGCTTCATCGTTTACACGCTTAGATGAGAAAGCAGCTGCATGGCACACAAAGCTCACAGCATGCATGCAAGCCCGTCTGCATAATGACTGTTCAGACAGTGACTTAGTGCACGTGAGAGAGTCTCAGATCACATAGTTAGCAGGACTGGATTGAACAGCTTGCTTAACCAAACTGTCAATACCCACTGTTAGTCTAATTTATAAAACTGAGAGGGGTTAACCAGGAGCAATCTAGTGATCTAACGACTGTTAGGAACGGAGTCCTCATTCATTTCAGAGACCTTGCACCTCACCAATCAATGTAATATAGTAACATTCTCTGAGATTATTTTATGAGGATGATATTGTACTAACAGTCTATGAATGCAAGTTAAATGCAACCAAAAAAGGAAGCACCCAAGGGAGACATTAAGGCTGAGAAATCAAGCCCTCAAGAGTCAGGTAATTCTCCAAATTAAAGGATCTCCCACCACATTAACTCTACTATACGTATACCCACTGTTAAACAGCATAGCTTGGGGGAAGGGAAAGTAGGGTTATTGTCCTCCCAGCAACTATGGTTCTTTGAGATGATGTGGTCAGTGTGGATCCCACTGTAGGTTCGCATGCACCTCTGGTGTGAGATTGGGGTCTTTTGAGCAGCATCCATCGAGGCTGTGCATGTGTCCCATGCCCCCATACGAGGGCATAAAGGGAAGGACAGCCATGACCCTCCTTCAGTTCCCTCGTAATTCTCCCTGGATAGTGGGATGAGGAGTCTTGGCTGTATCAGTCAAACAGGGATTGAACTGAAGCACTGCTGTCCCGAACCTGTGGAATGTTTTACAAAGGTCAGTGGGTTGCTCCACATGGCTGCCCTACAGAGATCAGTATAGTTCTGCAGCAGGCCAGAGATGTTGCCTGTTCCTGCTGGAGCGTGCCTTGATGTTTGGAGGGGCAGGCTCAGCAGCCATCTGATAGCAAGTGGAAATGCATTGTGTAATCTCCTTCGAGATTTGCTGGGATGAGATGGCTTGGCCTTTCAACACATCACATATGACCACGAAGAGGCAGAGAGTAGGTCTGAAAGGCTTGGCCTTGTTGATGTAACAAAGCAGGGCTCTTGGAACATTCACAGTATGAAGTTTCTTTTCTCCTAGCAATGAGTACAGCTTTGGGAAGAGGACTGGTAATGATAGAAACTGGTTCAGGTGGAATTCTGAACTTAGGGTGGTTTCATCACCACTGTGTCCCTGTGGAAGGGTGTACATGGCAGTCCAGCCATGAGAGCTTGTGCTTCACTAACTCTGTGCTGACGTGAAGGCTATGAGAAAGGCAGTCTTGATGGTGAGACAGCACAATAAGCATTCCGCTAATTATTCTCAGGGGGACTCCATGAACTATAGGAGAACCACATGAATCTTCCATGTGGGAGTAGGGTCTCTTACTGAAGGCAGGTCTGGAGAAGGCCCTTGAGAAATCTTGACACTATATGGTGTGAAAAACCTGAGTGTGACTGCATTGGAGTGTGGCACACTGATACTACTGCCAGATGGCCTTTAAGAGAGCTAAGGCCTAGTCCTGCCTGCTTCAAGGACCAGTATGTAGTCCAGAATCTTTGGTATCAGGGCCTTAGCTGGGTTTACATCATTTTGAGTTGTCTACATGGAAAATCTTTTCCACTTTGAGGAGCAAGTCTTCCCACAGGAGGGTTTCTGACTCTGTAGAAGGATCTCCTGGACCTGCAGGGAGCAGTCTCCAACAGTCCTGTTGAACCTTCCAACATTCAGGCCATCAGATGCAGCAACCACAGGTCCAGGTGCAATACCAGCCCCTGGTTCTGCAATTGCACATCCAGGTAGGTGGAAAAGTGTATTAGTGGGAATGTCTACAGGAGACCTGACAGCCAAACTTGCCTCAGCCAGTAAGAGGTTATCATTATGATCATAGCTTGGTCCCATCTGATCTTGGATATTGAGACCACTGAAGTAGAAAGGTGTCTGTAAGGGAGCAGGACTAAAACCTCCCATGGAGCAGAAGTCCTTGCACGTGGCATTGTTCACCATGCAAATAGGCCTATGGTGGGAATAGCCCACCAGCAAAAGGCTGGGTCTAGGGATGGATTTCCGCGTTCCTGCTCAGGAAGGTGCCAGGTTGTTGCTGACCCCTGTTCAGTGCAGAGCTACTGGAATCACTGTGTGTCAGTGGCACCATTTCCAGAACACGATCACCTCCAGACAGGAAGGAGATGATTGAGTACCTCCCTGCTTGTTTATGTAGAGCAGGGGTCGGCAACCTTTCAGAAGTGGTGTGCCGAGTCTTCATTTATTCACTCTAATTTAAGGTTTCGCGTGCCAGTAATACGTTTTAATGTTTTTAGAAGGTCTCTTTCTATAAGTCTATAATATAGAACTAAACTATTGTTGTATGTAAAGTAAATAAAGTTTTTTAAATGTTTAAGAAGCTTCATTTAAAGTTAAATTAAAATGCAGAGCCCCCCGGATCGATGGCCAGGACCCGGGCAGTGTGAGTGCCACTGAAAATCAGCTCGTGTGCCGCCTTCGGCACGCGTGCCATAGGTTGCCTACCCCTGATGTAGAGCATCATCAGAGTATCGTCCATAAGGATCTGCACTGTGGCATTCCAGAGGGCAGGTAAGAATGCTATGCAAGCCAGCCTGATGGCTCTTAGTTCCAAGACATTCACATGGAGTTTTAGATCATCCTGAAGCCAGAAAGCTTGCATCTGCAGGTGGTTCAGGTGGACACTCCAGCCTGTGACCAGCACCATCATCAGGGAGGGGACTAAGAAAGGTACCCCTTTTCTTACGTACAGTGGGTCTAGCCACCATTTGAGGTACTGCAGGACATGGGGTAGGTCCGAGACTTGTTTGGTCATAAGGTGCCGAGATGGGGAATAGACTGTCCTCAGCCAGTGTTGCAGGAGGCTGAGGTGAAGTCTGGCAAGTAGAGCCACATATGTGCACACGGACATAAGGCCAAGGGTCTCAGGAATGTACACAATGTGGTTGTTGGCCTTGTCTGCGGGTCACACACTACAACTGCAGGGACCAGAACTTGTCCTCAGTTTGGCAAAAGCTTTCCTCAAAGGAATTGAGCAGAGTTCCTTTGACCTCTTAACGTTTGTGCCGGTACAAGAGACAACATCTCGTGGTTCACCAGGAGTCCCAAGTGGGAGAATGGAGCGAGGATATGAGCTGCTTTGGTCTCCCCTCAGGATCTGCCTCTGACCAGCCAATTGTCTAGATAAGGGGAGACAGATTCCTTGTTTCCTTAGATGCTTGGCCACCACAGACAGACACTTGGTGAACATTCTTCGCTCCGTAGAGTGTCAAGAGAGCAGAACCCTGTACTGATGATGGTCGGGCCCCACTGCGATGCTCGATACTTCCTGTGGGCTGAGTGGATGGCAATGTGGAAGTATGTATCCTGAAAATCAAGAGCCACAAACCAGTGGAGCTTGGAGCCAATGGAGGCAAATATTACCATCCTGAACCTGAGATGGCATATGTATTTGCTGAGTCTCTTCAGGTCTAGGATAGGTGAAGACCCCCTTTCTTCTTTGGGACAGGGAAATATCAGGTTTAGAAGCCTCTTCCCCTGCACTCCTGAGGTACCTCTTCTATGGCTCCTAGGCAAAGCAACGGGGGCCACTTCTGTTCGTTATAGGCTCTTGTTAAAAGGGTGCCTGAAGAGGGATGGGGCGGGGGTGGGTAGGTATGAGGTAGGGAATGGAACTGGACAGAGTAGCTCTGGGCGATGATCTCCAGCCCCATCTGTCTGTTGTTAGCACAGACCATGCCCAGTGGAATGGGGTGAGGTGGCTTCCAAAGGTCGTGCTCAGTGGACTGGTTATGCAGTTCTTGACTGTCCAATCAAATGTGCTGATGGGTCATCATGGGGCTGAGGAGCAGGAGGGTTGTTGACATGCCTTGTTGTACCTTTGCTGGCCTGGTACTCTGAATGTCTGTGGTAAAACGGGATATGCGGTCTCTGTTGGTGCAATGATTGAGAGCAGTATGCATTTCTAGAGGGTGGGGAGTGTAGTTTCCCAGAAAGCATAGGTCGCATTGGAATCAGTGAATATAGGGTGCTCTCAGTCCATTCACTGAACTGCTCTGAAGCCTCAAAGGGCAAGTTCTGGTAGGTTGCTGGCCAGACCAGTGCCAATGCAAGTGTGCTGGAGGTTAAGTCTGTAGAGACCCTCTGGTTTATTGGTGGCACTGCTCACAGACCTCAGTGGTGACGGGTCTCTGCTAGACTCCAATAGAGAGGCATGTCCTGGGGATTGTGAAGAGGACAACATCTCTTCCATAGGCAGCATTGATAGAAAAGGTGGCACTGGTATCAAGGAGTGTGTGGGTGCTAGTGCGTATGTCTGTGCCGAGTGCGGCTCTGGTGCACTCCCAGTCTGTACTGCCAGTACCAGAATAGACATCAATGGAGGTACTTCTAGTACCTGTACCAGTGGAGTCTGCTGCAGCACAGTGTGCTCCTCTCCACTCATCTTCGTCGCCACATGTGACTTGGTCGGCTTGTCTCCCAATGTCTTCCTGTGATCCTTATTATGGGAGGACACCGAGCTCCTGCCCTGATGGCTAGGGAGACCTCTCTTTAACCCTATTTCCATGTCTGGGCTACCGATGGCTTGGCACTAATGTCCACACTGCTGCCAGTGCTGGCTCTGGCTTTGGTGCTGTTTTGTTTGCACAGGTCTTTGGCATGGCCTGCCTGTTGTGCTGGAAGATGCAGGCTTGATCACTAAAGGGGTCTGAGCTTGGCTCTTCTGCATCCAATGCCACTCTCATAGCTTGCTCCAGAAGACAGAGATTCAGCCTCATATCCCTTGACTTGTGGGTTCCTGCAGGGGAGGATAGGCAAACCGAGTCCTTGCTTGGGATGCGAGGCTCTCCCCAGCAGAACAGGTACCTGCTGTGCCTGTCGTTCAGAGGAATCAGCCCATCGCAGGAGGAGTGGGGCTAGAAGGCAGCATGTTTTGAGTCCGCCATTCGAAGTTCCTGTACAGGGGGGCTGTCTCTATGGGCAGGTTGTACAGGGGATCTGCAAGCAACTGTTAGTTTGACAAGCGCTAAGAACAGAGTAGGCCAATAAAAATAAAGAATGAAGGTGGTTCTGAAGAATTTCAGAAGATCTGAAGGAGTTTTTTGATAAGTTTAGCTGGAGTGAAAGACTAGTGGGTCGGACACCATCTAGGCTGTCTCGCAGCCATGGGTGGTAAGAGGGAATTGAGGGAGGGTTGCGACTGCCTGTCCTTTCTGACCTGGCAGGGGAGCACAAAGAGACACAGGGCACATGCTTGTCCCTGCCAGGTATTGCAATTCAAAAGAATCCCATCTCATGTATGTGAGACGCATGCACACCTACAGTGGATCCTCACCGACGTACACAATGGTGAACACTACAGGAGTGCAATGTGACAGAGTTAATGCTGGTAACGGCACCAAAAGGTGAAGAGGCCAAGAGATCACAGCTACATAGAGGCAAGAGGGGAAGAGCAGGGATGGAGTGCACGTCACAGGAGGATCGGGGAGGAGCTCCACACCACTGGGGAGCAGCCAGGGAAGAAGAGCCAAGCTCCAGAAGCAGAGTCTGTGGAAAAGAAGAGCAGTGGCAGCCCAGCCTCCCAGTTCGCATCAGCCCCACAACCTGGGCTGCAATCCCAGATACTCACCTGTTTAGCTGCTATCTCTTCATCGCGCCCATCTCCGATCACCACGTATGTTACTTTCTTTCCAAATCGTGACACAATCCTCTCAAAACAGCTCTCTTTACCTGCCAAAACACACCCCAATGGTGAATGCTCGTGGGAGCAGCACTATCCACCCCAGCACAGGCCCACCCTGCCTGGCCAAGGACAGACTCTCGTTTGGTTCCTTTCACAAGGCTACCATCTCCTCGGCAAGGACAGAACACCTGCTTTGGACTCTACTGGTACAAGCTGTTCCTATTCACACGAGCAGCTGGAGAGAGCCAGGCATCAGGGATTTCTCATTTGCACAGTGCTCTGATTTCCTATTGCAGGATAGAGAGATGGTCATTTTCAAAGCACACAATACAAATGCTGGCTCCTTCTCTCATGGGGGAGCCCCAGTCCATGTCTTTTTCAAATCCAGTACTGGGCTGTCTAGAAGGATGAGCTCACAGCCACTGCAGACTAGAGGAGTTGGGCACCAGGGAGAGATTTGTCTGTGCCTGCCACTCCCTCCCCAAGGATAGTCTGAAAACACCGAGCAACTATAGATCTAGTTCCTGTGACTAGATGGGCCCATCTGCCATATCCAGGCCATTTGAGGGATGCAAGCCAAGGGGTTCCCCAACAGGACTGCTAGCCAGTTCAGACATCACACAGCAGCTATGCCATTCCTGAGAGGGTGCAGTACACTCCCCCACCCAGCTGGCTCTACTGTCCAGTGCTGAGGAGGGTAAAGTCATGGCCCTACCCTCATACTCTGTCAGGTATCTAGCTCCCAGAGGCATGCCAGCAGGGCCTGTGCTCTCCATGGGATTCTGGCCAGCAGCACCAGGGCCCTCCCTTCTCCTGCACATCCCAACACAGGGCTTGACCAAAACTGGAGATTGAGAGGGACAGTGAGACTCTGCCAATTGAGCAAAGCCTCTTTCAAGTCCCTTTAGCAATGGCTCTCTGTCTGCTGCAGCACTATATGTCAGGTGGCTGCAGACTCTATTTCCTAAAGAGATTTTACTGAAGAGTCTTAAATCTCAAATATCTACTGATAAGAATGTGTTAAAACAATCTGAATACTTCAGGAGCTGTACTGAAGCCATATTCTGTGCTGTCTGTGGAGTGCCCAATGACAAGGATGAGGGCAGAAGTCCTCAATTGGCAGTCTTGGGCAGTGCTGTTCAAACTTAGCAGTGTTACTGGGGACTTGTCTACATTAGGGTTTTTTGCATCTGGGCAGCTACCCGAGTGCCAAACTGGCATGGATGTTCTGCACCAGTGTAAAATGGGGTTTATCCCAGGATAAGCTGTGAAGGTACAAGCCCTGCATTATGCTAGTGCAGTCCATCCACACTGGCCATGTAGCAACAGTGCTAAAATCCCTGACATAGTTGAGCCCTGGCTCTTCCTCTAGAAGTCCCAGCCAGCATTCTCAAACAGGCACCCCTGGCAACAACAAAAAGCTATTTGGAGCAATAACCATACCTATTTTTGTAGCACTATAAATATTTTCAATGGGGAACACTTCTCCCAAGCCGTACAAGAGAACTTTGGCAAGAGCTGGCACCAGCTGTGTCGTCGTGATCAGGACATTCACACAATTTTTTCTAAAGGGTAAAAGAAGAAACAATGAAAAACAGGCATGGCAGAGGGTGCAGGGGCTGGCTCTGGACAGCTGGCTTAGGCAACCATAGCAGGGGCCATGTGCTCTGCTGGACACTGCTGTACTTTTCAAAGCAGATCATGATTTAGCCTCTCTCTTTTTGCCTGCTGAAAAAGTCTCCTTGCTCTCCCCTTCATCCCTCTCTTACATTTAGCGCTTTTTGTACATCCCTCCTCTTCTTTACACTGCATTCAGTGCCTTTAACAGTAGCTGGGCTCTGTCTGTCACTATTGCTTTCTGTTCCAAGTCACTGACATCAGCACTCAAATCAGTTTGAGTCTGAGCTAAGAATACAGCAACAAGGCAATATGCTGTTATGCAGAAGTCCGTCCCTCACTCCCCTGGGGTCGGGGAGGCAGCATCTTTGGCCACTGGGAAAGGAGCACTCAGTTTCAGTTCTGAGCACTTCCAAGACATTAACAAACACCTGCCGAAGCCAGGCCCAGCCTACAAACAGAGGGCTGCTGTATCCCAGGTCTCTGAGAGGGAAGGAAACACAAAGTGGGAGGGAACAGAGAGAGCCCAGGGGATCCAAACGCTGCTAAGGAATAGGTAGCTAGAGAAAGCGGTGCATGGGTACTGCAACCATTAGCTGCAACCTTTTGCTCTGCTTTTCGGCACTGGTGTGTTGCCGTAATGCTGGGCAAGCAGCAAGGTAAGAAGATCACTATGCCTGAGCACCCTGCCCCTCCACAAGTTCTGCTGAGTTACTCTCTGTTCTGATAGAGGCATGGGCACTGCAGCGGGGCCTGGGCAGCTGGTCACGGACAGTTACTGTTGGAGTGACACATACTTGGCCCCATTTCCATACCTGGACTGTATGAGAAGTAGGGATTTTAATGCAGTTCCCAGCCAGGAATCCGTTAATACTTCTATATCAGCCCGTAGTCTCTGCAAAGCTTCCCTCTTCTGTGGGCTGAGGAGGCCTATAGGAGGTGCAGACAAACAAAAAGCTCCTTAGAAAACCATATTTCCCCAAGTAGAAGTATTGTCCAATGCAGAGAACTGCCCCATTCGGACCTCAAGGTAACAGCAGTGCTTTCTGGTCTGACTGGCTGGAAAAGGAATGTTAGAAGGGTTGTTTCAAACCTGGCTGTGAGATTAGGAAAACAACAGCTGGTAAATCAGTTTCCATGCACACAGGTGACATGGCTGGGAAGTCAGGATTGTAATTGGTGTTTGAATTCTAAGGAGTGTGGGGAAGAGGAAACAGGGCAGGCATTTCATGATACTTTGACATGATTGTGTAAAACTAGCTCTTAGAATACTGACAGTACAATCTGTTCCATTTTGTTCCATTCCAAAGTGCACTGAGTGAAGGACAAGGAGCTAGGTAGGAACTCCTGGGTTGTATTCCCAGTCCTGACACTGACTTACTGTGTGGCCTTGGGCAAGTCTATAACCTCTATGTATCTGAACTTCCCCATCTGTAAGAAAGGAAAAATGCTGACCTAACATCCTCGACATTGGGGCAGAGATATCTGTGCAGCACACTGAAGCAGTAAAGCACTATATTTATAGATTCATAAGACCTGAAGGGGCAATTCTGATCATCCCGTCTGACCTCCTGCATAGCACAGGCCAGAGAATTCCATCCAGTAAATCCTGTACCAAGCCCAGAATGTATGTTTGAGAGCTAGAGTACAGATCTTTTCGAAAGAGACTTCCAACTTTAGTTAAAAGACGTAAATACAAGGGTTAGTAGTGCTGTCACCAGTACATTTGCACATCCCACTACCGCTCCTGGGTTAGTGTGGGCAATACAGAGTTTTGGGGTTGTTAGGAGAACACTTTTTGTGGGAAGAAGGGAAGAGAAGAAACTGGATAAGGAATTCAAAGAATTCTGCCAACAAATTTTAATAAAAAGACGCACCAGACTGTGGGCCCAGCAGTCTGAACAGTGCACACAGCGCACATTTCAGGAAAACTCGCTGCAGTTAAGGATGAATCCAGTGAACCTAGGGAGACGTAGGCAGCGTGATAACGTGCAACATTTCACACTCCTCACCAGCTAACATTGTGCCAATTCACCTCAGTCCTGACCTCCAGCAACTCTAGTCCAGCACCATACCAACACAAGCTAAGCCTGGCTAATGCAAACAAGGCCTAACAAGCTGCAACTCCAGTCGTGGGATTCTCTATCTCACATCACAGACCAGTCTCATTCTGCACTCTGTACTGCTGAACAACCTTTCGAACATCTCCCTTTTTCACATGGGAAACAAATTAAGGTTTGTGAAAATAAATGTTGAATGTAGAATGATTTATTTCAAGCTATTTAAGGTGAGCAATATGCAGCTATTTGTACAAAAGCAGCTCCAATGGGACATTTTACATTTAATGGAAAGATTATAACTGCTAAAGGCACTGGAGGCTGATCAAGGCGACTTACATAACTAGCAAATCGCATCAGATTGCCTTTCAGTTCTGGCCTTTCAGTTCAGTTCAGAGTCTCAATGCGTGGATGAGACGATGGTGTAGAGAGGAGGGGTTTAGATTTATTAAGAACTGGAGAAACTTTTGGGATGGGGGAGCCTATACAGGAGGGATGGGCTCCACCTAAACCAAAGTGGAACCAGACTGCTGGCACTAAACATTAAAAAGGTTGCAGAGCAGTTTTTAAACTAAGAGATGGGGGAAAGCCGATTGCTGCAGAGGAACAAGTGGATCGGACAGAGACTTCTCTTAGAGGAGAGTCTATTGATAGATTTCAGAGTAGCAGCCGTGTTAGTCTGTATCCCTCACTCTCACAGATCTTGGGAGACAGACCTGTCCTCGCTTACAGACAACCCCCCAACCTGAAGCAAATACTCACCAGCAACCACACATCACTGAACAAAAACACTGACCCAGGAACCTATCCTTGCAACAAAGCCCGATGCCAACTCTGTCCACATATCTATTCAAGTGACATCATCATAGGACCTAATCACATCAGCCATACCATCAGGGGCTCGTTCACCTGCACATCTACTAATGTGATATGTGCCAGCAATGCCCCCTGCCATGTACATTGGCCAAACCGGACAGTCTCTACGCAAAAGAATTAATGGATACAAATCTGACATCAGGAATCATAACACTCAAAAACCAGTAGGAGAACACTTTAACCTGTCTGGTCATTCAATGACAGACCTGTGGGTGGCAATTTTGCAACAGAAAAGCTTCAAAAACAGACTCCAGCGAGAAACTGCTGAGCTGGAATTGATATGCAAACTAGATACAACCAACTTAGGCTTGAATGGGGACTGGGAATGGCTGAGCCATTACAAACATTGAATCTATCTCCCCTTGTAAGTATTCTCACACTTCTTATCAAACTGTCTGTACTGGGCTATCTTGATTATCACTTCAAAAGTTTTTTTTCTCTTACTTAATTGGCCTCTCAGAGTTGGTAAGACAACTCCCACCTTTTCATGCTCTCTGTATGTGTATATATATATCTCCTCAATATATGTTCCATTCTATGCATCCGAAGAAGTGGGCTGTAGCCCACGAAAGCTTATGCTCAAATAAATTTGTTAGTCTCTAAGGTGCCACAAGTACTCCTGTTCTTTCTATTGATAGAGATTCTCTAGGTTTTAGTCAGAAGGAGAGGATGGAAGAGGATAAAGTAGGGGCCAGATCAGACAAGAAACATTCGCATAAAAAAGAATCCGACACATCAGAAAAGGGCAGACAAATAAACAGTGACGAGTTTTTAAAGTGCTTGTACACAAATGCTAGAAGTCTAAATAATAAGATGGGTGAGCTAGAGTGCCTCGTGTTAAAGGAGGATATTGATATAATAGGCATCATAGAAACCTGGTGGAGTGAGGACAATCAATGGGACACAATCATCCGGGGTACACAATATATTGGAAGTACAGAACAGGTCATGCGGTGGGCAGGGGAGTGGCACTATATGTGAAAGAAAATGTGAAATCAAATGAAGTAAAAATCTTAAGTGAATCCATATGTTCCATAGAATCTCTATGGATAGTAACTTCATGCTCTAATAAGAATATAACATTAGGGATCTATTATCGACCACCTGACCAGGACAGTGATAGTGACAATGAAATGCTAAGGGAGATTAGAGAGGCTATCAAAATAAAGAACTCAATAATAGTGTGGGATTTCAATTATCCCCATATTGACTGGGAACATGTCACCTCAGGACAAAATGCAGAGACAAAATTTGTCTATACTTTAAATGACTGCTTCTTGGAGCAGCTGGTACAGGAACCCACAAGGGGAGAGGCAATTCTCGATTTAGTCCTGAGTGGAGCACAGGATCTGGTCCAAGAGGTAACGCTTGGAAATAGAGACCATAATATAATAACAACTTTAACATTCCTGTGGTGGGAAGAACACCTCAACAGCCCAACACTGTGGCATTTAACTTCAGAAAGGGGAACTATGCAAAAATGAGGGTGTTAGTTAAAAGATACAGTGGCTAGAGTGAAATCCCTGCAAGCTGCATGGACACTCTTCAAAGACACCATAATAGAGGCCCAACTTAAATATATACCCCAAAATAAAAAACACAGTAAAAGAACTAAAAAAGAGCCACCGTGGCTTAACAGCCATGTAGAAGAAGCAGTGGGAGATAAAAAGGCATCTTTTAAAAAGTGGAAGTCAAATCCTAGTGAGGTAAATAGAAAGGAGCATAAACACTGCCAAATTAAGTGTAAAAATGTAATAAGAAAAGCCAAAAAGGAGTTTGAAGAACAGGTAGCCAAAAACTCAAAAGGTAATAACAAAATGTTTTTTAAGTACATCAGAAGCTGGAAGCCTGCTAAACAACCAGTGGGGCCCCTGGACGATCGACATACAAAAGGAGCACTTAAAGACGATAAAGTCATTGCGGAGAAACTAAATGAATCCTTTGCTTCAGTCTTCACGGCTGAGGATGTTAGGGAGATTCCCAAACCTGAGCCGGCTTTTGTAGGTGACAAATCTGAGGAATTGTCAGATATTTAGGTGTCACTAGAGGAGGTTTTGGAATTAATTGATAAACTTAACAGTAGCAAGTCACCGGGACCAGATGGTATTCACCCAAGAGTTCTGAAAGAACTCAAATGTGAAATTGCAGAACTACTAACTATGGATTGTAACCTGTCCTTTAAATCAGCTTCTGTACTTCCACGACTGGAAGATAGCTAATGTAAAGCCAATATTTAAAAAGGTCCCTAGAGGTGATCCCGGCAATTACAGACTGGTAAGTCTAACGTCAGTACCGGTCAAATTAGTTGAAACAATCGTAAAGAATAAAATTGTCAGACCCGCAGAAGAACATAAATTGTTGGGCAAAAGTCAACATGGTTTCTATAAAGGGAAATCATGTCTTACTAATCTATTAGAGTTCTTTGAAGGGGTCAACAAACATGTGGACAAGGGGGATCCAGTGGACATAGTGTACTTAGATTTCCAGAAAGCCTTTGACAAGGTCCCTCACCAAAGGCTCTTACGTAAATTAGGTTGTCATGGGATAAGAGGGAAGATCCTTTCAATGATTGAGAACTGGTTAAAAGACAGTAGGGGCATTGCCAGCAGATCGAGGGACGTGATCATTCCCCTCTATTTGACACTGGTGAGGCCTCATCTGGAGTACTGTATCCAGTTTTGGGCCCCACACTACAAGAAGGATGTGGAAAAATTGGAAAGAGTCCAGCGAAGGGCAACAAAAATGATTAGGGGGCTGGAGCACATGATTTATGAGGAGAGGCTGAGGGAACTGGGATTATTTAGTCTGCAGAAGAGAAGAATGAGGGGGGGATTTGATAGCTGCTTTCAACTACCTGAAAGGGGGTTCCAAAGAGGATGGATCTAGACTGTTCTCAGTGGTACCAGATGACAGAACAAGGAGTAATGGTCTCAAGTTGCAGTGGGGGAGATTTAGGTTGGATATTAGGAAAAACTTTTTCACTAGGAGGGTGGTGAAGCACTGGAATGGGTTACCTAGGGAGGTGGTGGAATCTCCTTCCTTAGAGGTTTTTAAGGTCAGGCTTGACAAAGCCCTGGCTGGGATGATTTAGTTGGGAATTGGTCCTGCTTTGAGCAGGGGGTTGGACTAGATGAGCTCCTGAGGTCCCTTCCAAACCTGATATTCTATTCTATGATTCTATGACAGGGAACAAAGAGTAGGAATAAATGGTAAATTTTTAGAATGGAGAGGAGTAACTAATGGTGTTCCCCAAGGGTCAGTGCTAGGACCAATCCTATTCAACTTATTCATAAATGATCTGGAGAAAGGGGTAAACAGTGAGGTGGCAAAGTTTGCAGATGATACTAAACTGCTCAAGATAGTTAAGACCAAAGCAGACTGTGAAGAACTTCAAAAAGATCTCACAAAACTAAGTGATTGGGCAACAAAATGGCAAATGAAATTTAATGTGGATAAATGTAAAGTAATGCACATTGGGAAAAATAACCCCAACTATACATGCAATATGATGGGGGCGAATTTAGCTACAACTAATCAGGAAAAAAAGATCTTGGAGTCATCGTGGATAGTTCTCTGAAGACGTCCACGCAGTGTGCAGCGGCAGTCAAAAAAGCAAACAGGATATTAGGAATCATTAAAAAGGGGATAGAGAATAAGACAGAGAATATCTTATTGCCCGTATATAAATCCATGGTACGCCCACATCTTGAATACTGCGTACAGATGTAGTCTCCTCATCTCAAAAAAAATATACTGGCATTAGAAAAGGTTCAGAGAAGGGCAACTAAAATGATTAGGGGTTTGGAACAGGTCCCATATGAGGAGAGATTAAAGAGGCTAGGACTTTTCAGCTTGGAAAAGAGGAGACTAAGGGAGGATATGATAAAGGTATATAAAATCATGAGTGATGTGGAGAAAGTGAATAAGGAAAAGTTATTTACTTGTTTCCATAATATAAGAACTAGGGGCCACCAAATGAAATTAATGGGTAGCAGGTTTAAAACAAATAAAAGGAAACTCTTCTTCACACAGCACACAGGAACTCCTTGCCTGAGGAGGTTGTGAAGGCTAGGACTATAACAGGGTTTTAAAAGAGAAATGGATAAATTCATGGAGGTTAAGTCATAGAATCATAGAATATCAGGGTTGGAAGGGACCTCAGGAGGTCATCTAGTCCAACCCCCTGCTCAAAGCAGGACCAATTCCCAACTAAATCATCCCAGCCAGGGCTTTGTCAAGCCGGGCCTTAAAAACCTCCAAGGAAGGAGACTCCACCACCTCCCTAGGTAACGCAGTCCAGTGCTTCACCACCCTCCTAGTGAAATAGTGTTTCCTAATATCCAACCTAGACCTCCCCCACTGCAACTTGAGACCATTGATCCTTGTTCTGTCATCTGTCACCACTGAGAACAGCCGAGCTCCATCCTCTTGGGAACCCCCCTTCAACTAGTTGAAGGTTGCTATCAAATCCCCCCTCATTCTTCTCTTCTGGAGACTAAACAATCCCAGTTCCCTCAGCCTCTCCTCATAAGTCATGCGCTCCAGACCCCTAATCATTTTTGTTGCCCTCCGCTGGACTCTTTCCAATTTTTCCACATCCTTCTTGTAGTGTGAGGCCCAAAACTGGACACAGTACTCCAGATGAGGCCTCACCAATGTCGAATAAAGGGGAACGATCACGTCCCTCGATCTGCTGGCAATGCCCCTACTTATACAGCCCAAAATGCCGTTAGCCTTCTTGGCAACAAGAGCACACTGTTGACTCATATCCAGCTTCTCGTCCACTGTGACCCCTAGGTCCTTTTCTGCAGAACTGCTACCTAGCCAGTCGGTCCCTAGTCTGTAGCAGTGCATGGGATTCTTCCGTCCTAAGTGCAGGACTCTGCACTTGTCCTTGTTGAACCTCATCAGGTTTCTTTTGGCCCAATCCTCTAATTTGACTAGGTCCCTCTGTATCCGATCCCTACCTTCTAGTGTATCTACCACGCCTCCTAGTTTAGTGTCATCGGCAAACTTGCTGAGAGTGCAGTCCACACCATCCTCCAGATCATTAATAAACAAAATCGGCCCCAGGACCGACCCTTGGGGCACTCCGCTTGAAACTGGCTGCCAACTAGACATGGAGCCATTGATCACTACTCGTTGAGCCCGACGATCTAGCCAGCTTTCTATCCACCTTATAGTCACTTAATCCAGCCCATCCTTGTTTAACTTGCTGACAAGAATACTGTGGGAGACTGTATCAAAAGCTTTGCTAAAGTCAAGGAATAACACATCCACTGCTTTCCCCTCATCCACAGAGCCAGTTATCTCATCATAGAAGGCAATTAGGTTAGTCAGGCACGACTTCCCCTTGGTGAATCCATGCTGACTGTTCCTGATCACTTTCCTCTCCTCTAAGTGTTTCATAATTGATTCCTTGAGGACTTGCTCCATGATTTTTCCAGGGACTGAGGTGAGGCTGACTGGCCTGTAGTTCCCCGGATCCTCCTTCTTCCCTTTTTTAAAGATGGGCACTACATTAGCCTTTTTCCAGTCATCCGGGACCTCCCCCGGTCGCCATGAGTTTTCAAAAATAATGGCTAATGGCTCTGCAATCTCATCTGCCAACTCCTTTAGCACCCTCGGATGCAGCGCATCCGGCCCCATGGACTTGTGCACATCCAGTTTTTCTAAATAGTCCCGAACCACTTCTTTCTCCACAGAGGGCTGGTCACCTTCTCCCCATATTGTGCTGCCCAGTGCAGCAGTCTGGGAGCTAACCTTGTTTGTGAAGACAAAGGCAAAGTCCATTAATGGCTTTTAGCCAGGATGGCTAAGGAATGGTGTCCCTAGCCTCTGTTTGTCAGAGGGTGGAGATGGACAGTAGGAGAGAGATCACTTGATCATTACCTGTTAGGTTCACTCCCTCTGGGGCACCTGGCATTGGCCACTGTCGGAAGACAGGATACTGGGCTAGATGTACCTTTGGTCTGACCCAGTACGGCCGTTCTTATGTTCTTATGGCCAATGCATTTTCAACACATGAAAATGATGAAACATGTCACCGGAGGAGTGGCCATGTCCCTGAAGCTAAGAAATGGAAACAATGAAGGGTCTGGGCTCTCCCAAAGGGTGGATCCCATATGCTGCCTTAGGGGGTCGTGCCTTTGCTAATGCCCAAGCACCCGGACAAGTAAAAGTTACTGAATGTGGAACAGCTTCTAGCAAGAACCCTGCTTTATGCATGATGCTCAAACTCCACTCTGTGGTCAAGGTTCCAGCACCTGTGCACACACATGTGGCCTGCACTCACCTCCAACGTTGCTTTTGTGCTTGTCATAGATCTCTCGTACTCTGCGGTAGCGGAAAGCCAGTTTTCTCATCCAGTCCACTCCTCCCTGCGCCCCCACGGTGGAGCTGTTATTTGCGTTGCTTCCTGAGCCACTGAAGCCATCCGTGGAGAAACTGTAGTTACTAGAGCAGAAAAACAAACCTGTTACACAAGCTACAGCAGCAGGTTGGCTGACACCCTCCTAACTGGTGGTGTTCTAGTTTCACTCTCTGCCCATGGCTGATCAAGCCTCTGGGACCACCAGTCCTTCCCCCCATTGCAGGCAGGACCTCTCTACACATAACAGGCCTGTTCCTCAGCACCAGTGAAGATGGGGACTCTGTGCGCTCACTGGGCAATTTACTTCAATGCTCAACTGGTCTCACTACTGCACCTGAATCGTTGCATTCGAAGTGTGAGATTATTCCTCTTGCACTCCCTCAACTACAGAAACCGTCTTCTCCTCCCTCAGCTAACACCTCACAGTTATATAGCATTATATTCCCCTTTCATCACCTCTCCTCCAGGCCACAGTAATCAAATGTAATCACTCTCTTTTCATAGGTCTCATCTTCTCTCATTGGCATCATCCTTCTCAACCCTCAACTGAGGAGACAGGAAGCACTCCACGCAGCGTCCCCAGCACAGTCTCAACAGGTCAAGAGGTCTTTGCTTTACTGGAAATGCCTCTCTCTACTCACACATAATGGCACTTGTTTCTGCACTAAGGCTTTCTAAATAAGTCACTTTCCCTTTTTCACTGCTGAGCTCGAACTGCCACATTTCCTGGCTTCGAGACACTAGATTTTTTTTTTAAGTGAAAAGTTCTAATAAATTTGTTTAAATTCACAGATATGTATCTAGAACCTAAACTATATAAAAGCTACCTCTGAGAATCCCTCCTGGTTTAGGGCATCTCACTAACCTCACTTTGCACTTCAGATCATATTGTATTGAGATGCACAAGCCAGAGACTGCCTGTAGGAGCCCATTAGCTACCTCCCTCATTTGGTGGTTCCCCATTAAGATCTTGCTGCCTCTCAGCCAATGTGTTCCAGTTTTCTTTGCAGTTGCTTTCTGACTTCCTGCTTTCATTGGCTTCTGTACAAAAAGGTTTCACTGAAATCTAGTTAAGTTACATTTACTGTGTTACCTGTCTCCCTCAGGCCAGCAGATTTGTCAAGTGCAGTCTAGGTTTACTGAGCCCATGCTGCTTACTACCCAGAATTCTTTCCTCTAGGTATTTAGACAATTTTTTCATAATTCAGTCCAAGATTGTCTGGTACTGTATTACACTCAGACTAATGTGTCAGTAGTTCTCCCATTAAATAGACTGGAACCGAATCTGCCTTTTCAATTGTCAGGTGATAGGATACAATTTCCAAGGTAAGGACATGCCATTATAAATGCTGTCAGTGGTATTCTCTAGCCTGTTTAATGACACTTCACACCTTGTTTGCTATTTTGCACCGAGTCGATGCATTCACAAACATGACCACAACCATAGCCTGGTCTCTTTTTCTGAAGGGTTAATTTGGAAGCCAAAGTAGTTCAAATTATTCCTTTCAACGTGCTTTTCCCTGAACTTGTCAATACCGGAGTTCATCTGCAAGCATGTTGCTCAGTCACCTAGTTGTGTTAGGTTCCTCTGAAGTTCCTTGCAGTCTTCTGTGACCGTTTTAACTTAATTATATTGGTGTCACTTATTTAATGGTCCAACTGTAGTTATATCTCAGACCGACACCTGTGTGTTACAAGAGCCCAGATCACAAAAAGCCTCTCCTCTTGTGTGCTCTACACCCTTTGTGTAAGGGGTCAAGAGGCTGCTTTGCTAAACCCTATCCCAGCTGACCAGTTTCCATGTGAGTAGCTGAAATTTTAGAAATTTGTCTTTGGTTTCTCTCAGCACTGTGCACTTGCTCTCACTATCCTAATCTGGGTAAACTGGGAGAGGGGGGAAAACACTTTCTGAACCCTCTATGGCTGCTTCATCTCTTTGTGGACAGTTTCTTTGGTGTAAATTCAATCAAGCCAATTTGCAAAGACCATCATATATGGAGGTGCAGCAGCCAGTCCAAAACCTGACTGCAAAATGGTCTGGCGAGAGCAGAGCTGCCTGTATGGGAGGAGATTCAGGCCTAGCAAGTGTGAAGGACACCCCTGCCAGGGAGAAGAAATGAGATGCCAAGGACCACCGCCACCTCCCCTCCCCCAAGGAGAAGCACAGATACCACCCAGACAGCTGCACCCATCTTGTCTCCTCAATACTGTTCTAATATTGCTTTACTTTGAATCAAGGTGTAGAGTTGGCCCAGGGAAAGTGGGAAGCTTAGATTGGAAGATGGCCGCTCTATGATAAACTGTGAGAACCACAAACAAGGGAGTAAGCTGTGCTGGCCAAAATGATCTAGAAGGCCTTTCTAGCTTGTGTCAACCATTCACCCTAGGTCACAGCTGCACGGTGTCATGTCAAAGACTCTGGCAGGACTTTCAGAGGGCAAGATCTCAGACTTTGAGCCTGTTTCAACCACCAGATAGTACAACTGAGCACACAAGTGGTTATGCTGGATTGTTTGGCTAAGAAGCTTCCCCTTCCCCCACAGCCTTTCTTGTAGTAAATCTCTCAAACAGAGAAGCACTAAACCAGGTGCTCACTCCACACACATCTTGAATATATCACCTTAAGTCTTGTCCATTGTCATCTGATGCAACATCTTCTACGTGCACCTGGTCACACTCCTGTTGAAGACAAAAGACCCACAGATTGCTGTAGCTGAGGAATGCACTGATAGAACAGAAATTGGCTGGTTGTATATGTACAAATCTTAGATTACCCAACAGGATTAGCAAACTGGTTTAGATGAAATCTTCCATCCTGTCTCCCAAAACAAACCTTTCTGAGGTTCAAAGAACTTCAGTTCTCTTTGCCTCTCACATGTCAGATTTCACTCCTCAGCACCTCTGCACTTGCAGGTTCTGGCCAAGACTGGAACTTAAAGTACCAGAAATGTCTGGACAGAGTTTGCTCCCATGACATTTCAATTCAGGTTTGCGACTCAAAGGTTCAGAACATTTGAACAAATAATTGAAATTGTCGGAGTTTACCCTGACTGAACTTCTGATGCTCATTTAGAGTGACAAAGTGAGTGAGGTGGACCAACTGTGAGCCCCACACAGCATGTCTATGCTGCTGTTAGAAACCCACAACTGGCTCATGCCAGCTGACTCAGGCTCACGGGGTTTGGGTTGTCGGGCTGTTTACTGCAGTGTAGACTTCTGGGCTTGGGCTGGAGCATAGGCTCTAGGACCCTGCGAGGTGGGAGGCTCCTAGAGCTTGGGCTGCAGCCAGAGCCTGGAAGTCTACACTGCAATTAAACTGTCACACAGTCCCAGCCCAAGCCAGCTGGCACAGGTGTCTAGCTGCAGTGTAGACATACCCACAGAGCTCTTCTTTAGGTCTGGGGGAGGTACTCCGAGCATCATAGCTAAATGCAAGGTGGAACAGATTGTTTAGCATAAGTAGTTAGTACATATTGTAAGGGACAATTCAAGGTAGAGTGGCCCGTTACACCTCTGCAGTCATAGGACACATAGAAGGGGTTAGTGGGTTACAGATTGTTATAAGCAGCCATAAATCCAGCATCTCTGTTCAGTCTGAACAGTTTCAGCCAAAAAAAGCAACCCCAAACCTGAAAACAAATTTTGAAAATTTAAAAATACATCAAATTGACATTGTTTCAAATCAACATGTCAAATAAAATGTTGGTTCGAATTGACATTCAAAACATTTGTTTGAGCCAAATGAATTTTTTTCTTGTTTTTCGTTTCGTTGAGAAAAACAGAGAAAAATCAGTTTTGGTTTGAAACTAACCTTTTTATTTTGTTTTTATGATGTTTCTGTTTGGACACCAAACAAACAAATCAGTCATTGGCTCGGTCTAGTTAAAACACTGGTGGCTGCCTGGAGCCTAGTCTAAACTACTGATCCCAACATCGCTCTGCCCATTTGAGCTGAACCAGTGGTCGCAAACATGAGGAACTGGAGGAAAGAGCCTAGTACAGACACCACCAAAGGACCTGGGGAAACTTTGAATATAGTGCAGGACACAAACCTAAGTGCAGAGCTCGCATTGTTGTTGATGGGAATTGGGACCCACGGACCCCTTGGTGCCAACTGGCAGAGGGCACAGAGAGAGCAGGGGTTTTACAGGGATCCCCTGGATCAGAGATCTGCATAATAGTTCACCAAAGGGTGGCATGTGAGATCTCTGCCAAGAGCCAGTAGTCTACTATGATTCTTAATAATCATAGTGAAATGTGTGTACAGATAATATTTAAGGCATTATGTATCTATACTAAAAATTATGTTCTTAAAGTCTTGAAGTTAAGGCAGGTCACCAGGATGTGAAAGAGCTGCGACATGCTCCTTTCTCCTTTCCGGCAGGAGGTAACAGATATCTACCTACCTGTCTGGCCATTTGAATATTGTAGGTGAATTGCTGATTGTATTTAAGATACATTTTTTTTGTAATACTTTTGTTCTGAGTAAATACTTTGCTTTATGAAGGCTGGCTAGTCAATTGCCTCAGAGACAGTAGAGCTGCAGGTGCTGATCTAAATTCAGACATGCTGGGACAACCACAGTGAACTGCAGGAGAAATTGCAGCTGAAATCCCCAGTCTAGAGGGAGAAACTCACAGGACTCTGCCCTGAGAAATGTCTCAGACCTCTACCCATCAGTTAAGTGGGATGCCAGCAAAGAGTCTACAAAAGAGTCAGAAGTGCAGTAACGTCGGAAATTGTGACAGGTGGCAATAGGGAGATTATAGTCAATTCAAAATCCTCACTTCAATGCCTTTAATTAGCCCGAAGTGCATTTCCTACAGTAGTAACATCATAGAACATGTTTACACTTGTATCAAATTCAGGTTAATGCAGCCAAGATTAAGCAATCTCTTATAAATGTCAAGGCAAAATCATTTACGTAGCTCCTTCTACCTTGGAACACTGAGTTGCCAACAAGAGAGACTGTATTTTGGGCTTTACCATCTCAGACCATCCAGACTGCACTGTGCGGAGGAGACCTGATAAGCATCATGAGCTGGAATGGTGACATAACTTGACTGCTTTCTTTGTAAAGCTCAAAGCTGAACAGGGCCAGCAGAAAATTAACAAAAAATTACGTTTTTGAAAACACTAATGAAATATTTTTAGTTTTTCTAATATTTGCATTTTTAAAAGCAATTGTGGAGTACACTGAGATGCTCACACATGTAATAGCTCATGGTTCCTGATCTAAACCCAGCAGCTATAGTGTTATCTTTTAAAAATAGAACTGTATACTCAGGGGCAATGTAGACTAGAATTTATAGTAAGGGACTAGACGTCAGTAAGATCTGATTTCTATTCCCAACCATTTATTTGCAGAATCTGAAGTACTTCCACACCTCCTTGGGTAAGCCATATTTATTATATATAATATTTTAATTTATAATGAATGATTATGATTGGCTGAGTAAAGCGAGGCCTTACACACCTCAACAGCATTTCTGTATTTGTCAATTACAGCAAGCTGATTGACAGAGTACATTCCATTTTGTATGATCATGGCTCACACATCAGCTTTGTTCCTGTACAGCTTTAGTTCTGGTAGATGCTATTAGATTTTCATATTAAGTTCTGCTTCACACTTGTGTTTGTCATTAGAAATAGTATTCTCATCAGGAAGTTTCTGATGTTTAGGTTCCTGAACAAACAACTGGCACATACCTCTAAGTCATTGAAAAATAAGTGTGTGTCGGCCACTTCAAAAATCATCTCCTCCATTGTCAGACCTGAACCAATCACTAGAGTTGGGTCCTGGAAAACAAGACAGGAAAAGAAAATTTTGCCCTGGTTCTGTACTAAAATAGAGATAAACCTCTTGCCAATGAAGTTTCACAGGATTCCCACTGGATCCCAAGGCTAGAATGTGCTGGCATGGGTTTTTTTTTTTTTTCCATACCATTCAATTGTATGGATTGTAATATTCCAAAAATATTGTGGGCACTTGAAGAAAAGCCAGATTCTAGTAAAGTATCAAAGCAAAACAAATCAAACTCCAGTGCTCTGCAGTTTGGACAGATATACTTCCAGCAGCAAAACAGAAAAATTATTTGTGATTGTTCAGTATGTTTCAGAGAGGCTCTATTTATCTTCACTCTATATTGGAAACTCACTGATTCATACTAATGACAGGGACATGCTTTGTTAATTACTGGAGTTAGCAAGAAAGTGACCACACAATAAAAAAGCAAGCTTAATGTGCTTTGCTCATTTATTTTGAAAATTATATAGCAGCTGTAATACTGACATATTTTTAAAATGTAAAACAAATCAAATATTTTTATTTTTAGTGTACATTTAAGCACTTAAAATATTTGACAAATGAAACCTCCAAATGATTAAAGTTATTATATGATCTCAGCACAAAGGGGCTGAAATTACACAGTGCATGATCCTTAATTTCTGCTAGCATCTGCACTTCAAAAATACATCAATTCATAGCCTTGTACTTAATTAAAATGAATGTGTTTGCAGTCTTCACCTCCTAGCTCTGTAGGTACTTGATCTAGTATTCTCTTCTTTGAAGTGGTTATCCTTTTGTTCAAATAAAAGGGGAGGTTACTTACCTGTAACTGGCAGTTCTTCAAGATGCGTGGTCCCTATCTGTATTCCTCTGAGGGTTATGCGCATGTGCCATGTGCCCAGAGCCGGAGCTTTTCAAAATAGTAGTGTCCATCAGTCTGTGCATGTGCCTCTGCATTGCCTCGTGGTTTCGCCTGAGGCGACAAAGGGCAGAGCGGACCAACTGCGTCTCCAGTTCCTTCTCCACCGCAGAGGGGAAAGAGGGTGGGATTGGAATACAGATAGGAACCACACATCTCAAAGAAAAAACGGTTACTTACTTCTCGTAACTGTTGTTCTTCGAGATGTGTTGCTCATATCCATGCCAATAGGTGTGTGAGCATGCCGCGTGCATGATCGCCGGAAAGCTTTTCCCCTAGCGGTACCTGTCGGGTCAGTTATGGAGACCCCTAGAGTCGTGCCTTTGTGGCGGTGTATATATGTCCCTGCCGACCCGCTGCCTGCTCAGTTCCTTCTTGCCAGAATACTCCGACAGTGGGGAGGCGGGTGGGATTTGGAATGGACATGAGCAACACATCTCGAAGAACAACAGTTACGAGAGGTAAGTAACCATTTTTTTCCTTCTTCGAGTGATTGCTCATGTGCATTCCAATAGGCGACTTCCAAGCAGTTACCCCAGGGGAGGGGTCGGAGTTCACGTAATCACCGAGTGTAGGATGCCCTACCAACCCAGCATCATCCCTCGACTGCTGGGTGATGGCATAGTGGGAAGTGAAGGTGTGAACTGAAGACCAAGTTGCCACCTTGCAGATGTCCTGGATAGGGACCTGCGCCAGAAAAGCTGCGGACACCACCTGCGCTCTGGTAGAGTGCGCCGTAATCGGAGGGGCTGGAACTTTAGCCAGGTCATAGCAAGTCCTGATACAGGACGTGATCCATGATGAGATGTGCTTGGACGAGATCGGGAGTCCCCTCATTCTTTCTGCGATAGCAATAAAGAGTTGCAGTGACTTAAGAAACGGCTTTGTGCGTTCAATGTAACATGTTAAGGCACATCTAACGTCCAAGGAATGGAACATGTGCTCCCTGTTAGTGGCATGGGGTTTAGGAAAGAACACAGGTAAGAATATATCCTGGTTCACATGAAACTGGTAGACAACCTTAGGCAGGAACGCAGGGTGGGGGGCGTAGCTGCACCTTGTCTTTATAAAATACTGTATAAGGCGGTTCAGAGGTCAGTGCCCTGAGTTCGGATACCCTTCCAGCGGAAGTTATAGCCACCAGAAAAGCCACCTTCCGGGAAAGGGAGGAAAGAGGGCAGGTAGCCAGGGGCTCAAAGGGGGGCCCCATGAGCGAGGACAGGACCAGGTTGAGGCCCAGGGGGGAACAGGCTGACATACTGGAGGATAATGTCTGTCCAGGCCCTTAAGAAACCTGCCCACCATGGGGTTACCGAACACTGACCCACCCGCCGTTCCCGGGTGAAAGGCCGAAATGGCCGCAAGGTGTACCCGCAGGGATGATATTGCTTACCCCTGGTGTTTGAGATATAAAAGATAGTCCAAAATAAGGAGAATTGGGGCTGATTGTGGCTCAGTTTCCCTTTGTCGAGACCAAATGGAGAAACGCTTCCACTTAGCAGGTAAATGGCTCATGTGGAGGGTTTCCTACTTCCCAACAGGACCTCCCTCACTGAGTATGAGCACTGAAGCTCAAGAGGATTCAGCCATGGAGTTTCCACACCATGAGGTGGAGGGACTCCAGGTTGGGGTGCCATAGACAGCCGTGGTCCTGCGTGATTAGGGTCGGAGAGAGAGGGAGCGCTACTGGTCCGTCCACTGAGAGGTTCAGTAACAAGGTGAACCAGTGCTGGCGAGGCCACGCTGGCACTATGAGAATCAGGGAAGCCCTGTCCTGACGAGTCTTGAGGCGCATTCTGTGTATGAGGGGGAATGGCGGGAACGCATACAGCAGGTGACCCGTTCATGATAAGTGAAAGGCGTCCGCGGTGGAGCCTGGGCTGTGGTTCAGGAAGGAGCAGAATCTCTGGCACTTCCTGTTGCTCTGCATTGCAAAGAGGTCCATGTGGGGAGAGCCCCACCTCTGGAAAATTGAGTGAGCGATGTCCAGTCTGAGGGACCACTCGTGTCCATGGAACGAGCGGCTGAGGCGGTCTGCCAGCTCCTTCTGCGCCCCCGGAAGGTGTGACGCCTGCAGGTGTATGGAGTGGGCGATACAGAAGTCCTACAGCGTGAGGACTTCCTGACAGAGGGGAGAGGAGTGAGCACTCCCATTTGTTTATATAGAACATCGCTGCAGTATTGTCCATGACCACTGATATGCACATGCCCTGAAGACGGGCCTGAAACGCCTGGCTTGCCAGGCGAACCGCCCTCAGCTCCCTCACGTTGATGTGCAGCGATATCTCTGCATGGGACCAGAGGCCCTGGGTTCTGGTATTGCCCAGATGCGCTCCCCAACTGAGCACTGAGGCGTCCATAACCAAGGAAAGCGTGGGTTGGGGTTTTGCAAAGGGTACACCCGCACAAACCAACTGTGGTTGCAGCTACCAGTGGAGAGAGAGTAGAGAATGCGAGGCGGGAGGGTCACTATTGAGTCCAATGGGTCTCTGCCCTGCCTGTGCACCTGCGCTCTCCATGCCTGGAGGGGCCGCAGGCGGAGCCTGGCGTGCTGTACCACGTATGTACAGGCCGCCAGGTGCCCCAATAGTCTCATACAATTTCTGACCATGGTTGTGGGGAAGTGGAGAAGGGTCTGGATAATGTCTGTGAGCGCTTTGAAATGCAGTTCCAGAAGGCACGCCCTCACGTGCGTGGAGTCCAAGAGAGCGCCGATGAACTCTATCCTTTGTGTGTGGGTCAGTGTGGACTTGGGCTCGTTCAATATAAGTCCCAGCCTGTGAAACATAGCCCAGGCCACGGACATGTGCTCTGCTACCTGTGCTTGGGACTCGGCCTTGATGAGCAGTCATGCAGATACGGCAATACCTGCACCTGGCGCTTGCGGAGGAAGGCGCCACTACCGCCATACACTTGGTGAACACCCGGGGGGCCATTGACAGGCCAAATGGGAGTACCCTGAACTGGTAGTGCTGGCCACTGACCACGAATCTGAGAAAGCGTCTGTGGGCTGGGATAATAGCAATGTGAAAGTATGCGTCCTTCAAGTCGAGGGCGGCGTACCAGTCTCCCGGATCCAAGGAGGGAATGATGGCGGCCAGAGAGACCATGCAAAACTTCACCTTTATGAATGTGTTGAGGTCTCATAGGTCCAGGGTAGGCCAACGCCCACCCTTGGCCTTGGAGGATGAGGAAATAACAGGAGTAGACTCCCTTGCCCCATAATTCCTGAGGAACCTCCTCTATTGCCCCTAGAGCGAGGAGCGATTGCACCTCTTGTAAAAGGAGTTGCTCGTGAGAGGGGTCCCTGAAGAGGAACGGGGAAGGGGGTTGGGAGGGCGGGAGGGAACAGAATTGGATAGAATATCGTGCCCCCACCGTGCTGAGGACCCAGCGGTCTGACATGATCTGAGACCAAGCGCGGTAGAAGCGGGAGAATCGATTCACAAGGGGGGTGGGGGGGGATGAAAGATGGCGACTGGTGCACCGGCCTCGGGCGCATCTTCAAAAGTTGGGCTTGGGGCCAGGGGGTTGTTTGGTTGAACCCTGGCCTTGGCCTGAGGAGGACTGAGGTGGGCGCCTCCTATTATTTCTGCACCTCCTCCTAGGGGGATCTTGCCGAGGAGGCCCCGGGTAGAGGCGGGACGGGGGCTGAGGTCTAAAGGGCTTTCTCTGAGGCGCTGGGGTGTGTAGCCCCAGAGACTTCAGAGTTGCCCGAGAGTCCTTCAGGCTGCACAGGCGCGTGTCCAAATTTTGGGTGAACCGGCCCTCAGTCAAATGGGAGGTCCTGTATAGTGTTCTGGACCTCCGGCGGGATACCCGAAACCTGTAGCCATGCACTGTGCCTCATTGCTATTGCGGTGGCCATGGTTCAAGCCGCAGAGTCTGCCATGTCCAGGGCTTCCTGGAGAGCAGTCCGAGATACTACTCTACCCTCCTCAAGGAGCACACCAAACTCCTTGCACGAGTCAGCTGGGATTAACTCCTGAAACTTAGCCAACGAGCTCCAGGAATTAAAAGCGTATCGGCTAAGTTCTGCCTGCTGATTTGCTACCCAAAGCTGGAGCCCACCAGTTGAATAGACTTTACGGCCAAAGAGATCCAGTTTCTTGGCGTCACGTGACTTAGGTGGAGGACCTGGTTGTCCTTGTCACTCCTTGTGGTTTGCCGCATCAACCACCAAAGTCCCCTGTTGGGGGTGGGTAAAAAGGTGCTCATAGCCGTTTTGCGGCACAAAGTAGCGTCTCTTGACCCCTTTAGCCATTGGTGTTATAGAGGCCGGGGTTCCCCAGAGCACCTTCATGGTATTCTGAATTGTCCTTATGAGGGGCAAGGCCACTATGGCCAGAACTCATGGCAGTGTAGCATCTTTCTTGGATCTGGATTCAGAGTAGCAGCCGTGTTAGTCTGTATCTGCAAAAAGAACAGGAGTACTTGTGGCACCTTAGAGACTAACAAATTTATTAGTCTCTAAGGTGCCACAAGTACTCTTGGATCTGGAGGAAGACTTACTGCCATGCTTATGCGCATGCTTCCATGTTTCATGGCTAGGCCCCAGCATGGGGTCCATAGTGCTGGTACAGGCAGAACTGGACTGGGACTCTGCAGCAGGAGGTGCACTCCTGGATTGTTCAGGCCAATGTATGGGGGCAGGGGAGGGTTCCCCAGCCAGGATCCAATTGCAGTCCCATGGCAACCTCCATGAGATGCTTCTTAAGGCACAGAGAAGTCTGGCTTCCTGCGGGTAAGGAAGGAGAGGCATGCATATAACCCTCAGTGGAATACAACAGGACCATCACTCGAAGAAGGAGTATGCATTTTCTACTTCTTTCACCTACAATTAATGTATACTTATTGATAACATTTATGATCTTACCTCTGAGAAAGAGGTAAGACAATATTACCTTTCCATATTTCTGGGCGTACGACCCTGTGAGAAGGGAATGGAAAATGATGATGGTCTCATCCAAGTCCCATAGAAACACTCGCTGGGAAAGGAATTACAAAAGGAGGTTAATCTTGGGATATTCCAACTGCCATGCTGCAGCAAACAGAAAAATCATAGAAACGTGGGGCTGGAAGGGACCTCGAGAAGTCATCAAGTCCAACCCCCTGCACTGAGGCAGGACCAAGTAAACCAAGACCATCCCTTACAGGTGTTTGTCCGATTTGTTCTTAAAAACCTCCAATGACAGGGATTCCACAACCTCCATTGGAAGCCTGCTCCAGAGCTTAACTATCCTTATAGTTAAAAAGTTTTCCCTATATCTAACCTAAATCCCCCTTGCTGCAGATTAAGCCCATTACTTCTTGTTCTACCGCCAATGGACATAGAGAATAATTGATCCTCATCCTTATAACAGCTCTTAACATATTTAAAGACTTATCAGTTCTCCCTCAGTTTTCTTCTCTCAAGACTAAACATGTCCAGCTTTTCCTCACTGTCAGCTTTTTCATCATTTTTATTGCTCTCCTCTTGGACTCTCTTCAATTTATCCAGATCTTCCTTAAAGTGCGGTACCCAGAACTGGACACAGCACTCCAGCTGAGGCCTCACCTGTGCCGAGTAGAGCGGGACAATTATCTCCTGTGTCCGATGATATGTATACATGTAAAAAGCCACATGGCGCAGCTGAGCTGCTGTAGCGCTTCAGTGCGGACACTCACTACAGCGAAGTAGTTAATCTACCTCCCCGAGAGGCAGTAGCAAGGTCAATGAAAGAATTCTTCTGTTGACCTAGCAGTGTCTACACCAGGGATTAGGTTGGCATAGCTACATCTCTCAGGGGTGTGGATTTTTCATACATACAACACTTCTGCTAACACTCCCTAGCATGATACCAACTGCCTCACATTGTTGACTCATATTCGATTTGTGATCCACTAGAACTCCGAGATCCTTTTTAGCAGTTATTCCCCATTTTGAGCTGTGCATTTGATTTTTGCTTTTTAAGTATATTACTTTGCACTAGTCTTGTCTGAAATCAACAAGGTGAAATTCAGTACAGTTCTGAAATATTGTATTGAATTCTAATCCTGTCCTTTAAAGCGCTTGGAACCCCTCCCAATTTGGCATCGTCCATAAATTTTATAAGCATACTCTCCATTATCCAAGTCATTAATGAAATATTGAACAGTACCACACCCAGGACAGATCCCCGCGGGACCTGATTTGACACATCCTACCAGTCTCACAGCGAACCATTGATACGTACTCCGACTAGTCTTTCAACCAGCTGTGCACCCACCTTATAGTAATTTCATATAGACTACATTTCATGAGTTTGCTTATGAGAATGTCATGTGGGACTGTGTCAAAAGGTTTACTAAAAAGCAAGCTATATCATATCTATTGCTTCCTCCTTAATCACGAGACCAGTAACCCTAACAAAGAAGGAAATTAGGTTGGATTGATATAATTTGTTCTTGAAAAATCCATGCTGGCCATTCCTTATAACCTTATTATCCTCTAGGTCCTTACAAAAGGATTGCTTAATAATTTGTTCCAATATTTTCCCAGGTACCAAAGTTAGGCTGACTGGTCTATAATTCCCCACATCCTCGTTGCTTCCCTTTTTAAAGTTAGGTACTAAGGTTTGCCCTTCTCCAGTCCTCTGCAACCTCACCCGTCCTCCAGGAGTTCTCAAAGATAATTGCTAACAGTTCCAAGATAGCTTCAGCTAGTTCCTTAAGTACCCTAGGATGAAGTTCATCAGGCCAAGCTTGCTCTCTCACCCACTTTGTGGTTAGGTGGAGTGTCCCCTATAGGAATGGCCCAACGCTCTTTTATCGAGCTCCATCAACAGTGTCTTAACTTTGTGCCTCTGGTTAGAGAGCGGCATTTCTGGACTTCCAGTGCTCCTCCTGTTTTTTACCCAATTATCCCAGCCCCTTTCCCCCGCCAGAAAGGGGAAGGGAGACACGCTGGCCTGACTGCTCTTCCAAAACGACTAATCAGAAAACCAGACTGTTCACTTACTTCCAGTTCACTGTCCTGAGGGGAGGAGGCATCTGCTTTCCTCTTGCCCCTGTTTTTCCCAGCCATGTTTTTCCTAGTCTGCTCATCTAACTCTTTACTGGCTGTTGCTCTTGGCAAAGATGGACTTGTGGATGGATCTCCTAGAAGAAACACACAACACTGTTCCCATCTCATGATCATACAAAATGAGCACCCAGTCCCAACACACCTCTCCTCCTGACAGCTCTTGGCCATATATCCGAGTCAGGAAACATGAGATGTTATTGCACCTCACTGAGTCACCAGCAGTTGAATACCTACATAGAGCAAATGCATAGTTTTTCTGTCCAGTCATGTCAATACACACCCATCTCCCCAGTCAATTCAGCAGTAAGCCATGATGGGGGCACAGTCAGACAGTACGTCTACAGTGCTGGCCCAGGTCAGGTGTCTCAGGTTTGTGGGGCTTGAGCTATGGGGCTAAAAATTGAATGTAGACACTTGGGCTGCAACCCAGGGTCTGAGACCCCACGAGGGGAGGGCCTCAGAGCCTGGGCTCCAGTCTGAGAGTCGACACTGCAATTTTTACCCCCACAGCCCAAACCTGTGTTAGTTGCCCTGGGCTCTGAGACTTGTGCCATAGATTTTTTTTTTTTTTTTTTTAATAGTGTAGACCAGGGGTCGGCAACCTTTCAGAAGTGGTGTGCCGAGTCTTCATTTATTCACTTTAATTTAAGGTTTCGCGTGCCAGTAATATATTTTAATGTTTTTAGAAGGTGTCTTTCTATAAGTCTATAATATATAACTAAACTATTGTTGTATGTAAAGTAAATAAGGTTTTTAAAATGTTTAAGAAGCTTCATTTAAAATTAAATTAAAATGCAGAGCCCCCTGGACTGGTGGCCAGGACCCGAGCAGTGTGAGTGCCACTGAAAATCAGCTGCGTGCCATAGGTTGCCTACCCCTGGTGTAGACATACCCAGAAATGAATGCTGTACGCTGGGTAAGGTACAAGATCAATGGCAGAGTTCCTCCAGCTACCTAAGAATTGTACCAAGAATACAACCCTCCTCTGCCTTACTGCTATTAGAGCTACTTCTATTTAAATTTCATTTAAAAAATGGTAACTCAATATTTGTAGAGGGTTCCTGCAAGACCCTGAGCCCTGGGAAAGAGTTCTCTTGGAAAGGATTCTGACCCATTTTAGAGTACACTTATTATTAAGTTAGTTCATCTAACATCTCATTTCCCCCAGGTTCCTGGGCTAGTTGGATGCCTTTCCTCACTGCCCATCCCCCAGCGGTTAGTACCTTGTACACTTTCAATGCAGTGTGAAATAGGAGAGACTCAACAGGGAGTATTAAACCACCCCTGTTTAGTTAACTGTTGCTGGAGGGCCAAGAGACCCTGCCGAAAAGGCAGCAGGTCTAACAGGTGAGGCGTAACGGTAGGCATTAATTTCCCTCTTTAAAGTATTTTAAGCTACTGAACTGGGAGCCCTAAATCTAAAATCAGGTTTTTTTAAGCAGCAGCTAGTTAAACCCGGCCCCACAACTTTCTCAGCCTTTGCCAAGCAGCCTAGCCAGGCTCTGGCTTAACACTCCTCCCACAGTGGCACATCAAAAAGGAAACCACCACTGCCCCCTCAATCCTAATGCGAGGGGCTCAGGAAGTAATAGATCCGTCTCTACCCCTGTAAGAAAGGGATGTGGGCTTTTTGGTGATGAGGTCCCAGTCATGCACTATTGTGAGTTGAATCATGACATGACATCAGCAGAAAAGGTCAGCCAGCCAACAGGAAAACAGCTGTGGACCGACAGTTAAATCCTTCTCGGTTACATTTGCTGCATCTTTTAACTAAAATACCTGACAAAAGACTGGGGAAATTAACGGGACACACAGACATTTATATACAAAGTGCTTTCTGGAATTTCTCTTTTCCTGGTTTCTACCTCAGATCAGTGAGGAAATTTCACCCAACAATTCCAGCATGAAGGCCAATGAGTTGTAGTTAAATTAGGGCATTTCTTTTAGAAGGACATCTGATCTTGATTTAAAGAGTCCAAATGATGGAGAATTTACTGCATTGCTTAGCAATCGGTTTCAATGGTTAATTACACTCACTATTAAAAAAAAAAAAAAACTACATCTTAGTTCCAGGTGAACTTTGCTGACCAACTTCCAGCCACTGGATCTTGTTATGCCTTTGAATGCTAGATTAAAGAGCCTGCTACAATCAGAAATCTTGTCCCTGTAAATATTTATAGATGAGTGATAAGATGAACAGGTTGAGCTCCTTCACTCACTCGCAGCAAGGCAGGTTTTCTAGGCCCTGAATTATTCTTACAGCTTTTCTCTGTTTTTAAAACCTCCTTCCTCTCTTGGTGCCTCATTTTCCCAGCTGTACAATGTGGGTTTTGTAAAGTGCTTTCACATCCTCTGACAGGGCTGCCAATTTCGGTTGGACGTATTCCTGAAGGTTTCATCACATGACAATCTTTAATTAAAGATGTTTCTTTAATTCCTGGAGATTCCAGGACAATTCTGGAGGTTGGCAACCCTATCCCTCTACATATGAAATCTCTGTGTGAGACTATGACACATACTAGGGGATAGGACACTTCATAGCTTGTGAAGGCTGAGTTCATTGCACCCACCAGGGGCTCACTGTATCCCTCCATCAGCCCCCTGTGGGCCACCCTCCCATCCCCCTCTACTTAAAGGACTCCCAGCAACTCTCCCACACACCCCTCACACCAGGGGCTCTGTGTGCCCCCATTTCCTCCTCCCTCTATACCAGGGTCCCCCATTAACCCTCAAGTCAGGGACTGTGTGCAACCCATTCCCCCTTCTACCTCAGGCCAGGGGCTGTGCACGCCACCATTTCTTCCTCCCTCCATTCCAGGATCCCCCATTCTGCCTCTTATGTCAAGTAGCTTTGCCCTGTGTGTACCCCATTTTCCTTCATACCAGGGTCCCCCTCCCAGCTAGGGTCCCCCATTTCCAAGGTGTTCGCATCCCCCTTACTCCCATACCAAGGTCCCCTATTCTTTTCCCCACTGGGATTTTCTGCTATCCCCTTCTTCCCCTCATGTCAGGGGCGCTGTGCATGCCCCCATTCTTCTCACCCCCAACCACGGCTCTGTATGACCCCCCACCTTTAGTCATCATTATTATTTCTCTTCTTTCTGTCTGGGAGTAAAGTAATTCGGGGTGTTAACACATTAGACTCTATTGGGAGGGTGGGCAGAGATTATATGCAGGGTACTGTTATGCTGGAAGATACTCATCGGTGTAATCTGCCAGTTCTTTGATCTACAGCCAATTGCACAGGTACATGAAGCTGTGGCTGTGCTAAACACACGGTAACGGCTCCATGTATCCCCCATTTTCCCCTTCCTGGTTTTCCAATTTCCCCCCAACACAACAGGGTGCACACTGATACCTAGAACATTTGCTGAAATTTGGAATTAATTGGACAGGGCATTCAGAAGTTATCCTGTGACAGACAGACAGGCAAATACCATCAAATTGAGTGTAAGGCCTCAAGCTCAGCCCATAAATAGAAGTGCAAAGTGAGTGTTTCTTTTTCCCTCAGGATCCCTCCTCATAACCTTCCCAGACCCTAACTTTCACCAGCTCATCCTACCATAGCCAAGGGAAGTGGTCATCACGGGGAAGTTGGGTCTATCAGAGTAGAGAGGGGCAAAACATCTGCTAATTTAGAAAAGAAAATGTCAGCTCCCCTTCCTCTGCAGAGCCTGGTTTAACTTTCATTTCCCTTCCCTGAAGGGCCTTAGAAACAACTGATGGGATGGCTCTGGGTATCGCTAAGAGCTAGAGGAACTGTGTGAAACTTGATCCACTCGGAAAGGAGTCTTTACTTAGCGTATGTTTGTTTCCCCTCACTGGAAGAAGAAAGTTGCTTCAGAAGCACTGTGAAACAAACGGATGTCACCATGGGGGAACAGGCAACAAGCAGAGCTGCCTTCATCAGTGCCAGTTAATATGACAAAGGGGATTGGAGGAAGGAAAAGGAAGAATTTCATGAGGAATGCTGGGAAAAAACTTGTTCTCATGCTGGTGACTTTCAGAGCTAAGGAATCCCAGATGCTTTGCACAACAGTGAGTTAGATGCCCGCAGTGCAGTGACACAGCTGCACTAGCTCATACATGAGAGCATGTTATTGAGAGAGGGAATGCTGGCCATTCCCCCAAAATTATCTTTAACTTTTATTTGAAGTGTTCCAAGGGATCTTTAATTCCCACCTGACAGCAGCCACCAGAGACAGGCAGAAGTTTAACGCAGATGACATCTATAACCATATGACCTCCGCAGTCTTCCACATCATACTGAAGGGTGTGTAGTGGGAGCATAGGATGCAGAATGGGTCAGGAAACCAAATATTTTAGGCCCAAAGGAGAAACAAAATGGCAAAAATCCTTCCCTGAAAATGGACGGAATATGCGCTGCACACATCAACACACAACGATGCCCCTCATTGCACTCCCTGTTAGGCCCGCCAGCGTGCTGTATAACAGAGGGGGGTCTGAAATCCACCCTACTAAAGCTGCAGCACTTACCAGATAAATGTCTATGCGCCGTCCGCGTAGGCACCATGGCATTTGCTTTTTCAATTGGATATGTGGTGGTTGCTAACATGGTACTCTCCATGCTGCTGTCTGCTGGCGCTATAACCCCGAAGCCAGAACTTGGGTAGCATGGCTGGTACTGGCTTTGGCCAAGAATTGTGTAGGTAGGATATTCCTATTCAAAGAAAGGATCAAATAAGGTAGGAAAAGGCTGTTCCTCAGAAAACACTGAAAACCAAATGGGCTGCTGGGCTAGAATGCCTTTGGGACAGAGAAGCGCCAGCAAAAGTTCAGGCTCTCTCTGCTTTGGCCCCCAGCACCGTGAGAGCGCTCTACGGCAGAAAGAGCTGGTCCCCAAGGGGGAAAGAGCAAGTAGGCAGACAGGATCGCCCACTCCAGACTTACGGAGGGAGAAGAAACAGTGTTGCCTGCTAATGAATGGTTTTTAAATTCCAACTATATCAGAAGGGTTCTCCCTCTCTGCTCACCATCTTGTCAGACTCTTTGGATGCATCCCCTTCCCCTTTCTTTGCTGAGGGAGACTGAGAAGGGTTTAAAAAGCTGTGTGACTATATTCTTCACTGTAGAATTCTACACTTGAAAATTAGGTTGGCATAACTACGTCGATCAGGGCTGTTCAAAATCCACCCCCCTAAGCAGCGTAGTTCAGTTGACCTAAGTCACTGTGTAGACAGAAGAATTCTTCCATTGACCTAGCTACTCCCGCTCGTGGAGGTGGATTCCCTACACTACCAGAAGACCTCCTCTCAGTGGTGTAGGTAGGGTCTACGCTGAAGCGCTCCAGCTGTGCTGTTGTAGTGTTATAAGTGTAGATAAGCCCTAAGCTAATCATAGTTATGCTACTTACACTTCTGTAGTGCCTGCCACACGGGGATCTCCAAGTGCTTTATGGTTACTGACCCTCACTTCTCTCTAAATTGACAGGGTGGGAAACTGAGGTACAAGGAAGTGAAGTGACTTGCTCAAGGTCCCAAAGGAAATCTGTGGTGGTCAGAAGAATCACAGAATCATAGAATATTAGGGCTAGAAGGGACCTCAGGAAGTCATCTAGTCCAACCCCCTGCTCAAAGCAGGACCAATCCCCAGACAGATTTTTGCCCCAGATCCCTAAGTGGTCCCCTCAAGGATTGAACTCACAGCCCTGGGTTTAGCAGGCCAATGCTCAAACCACTGAGCTATCTCAGCTATCTACTGACTCCCAGCCCTATACTTTAACCACAGAAGTAATTCTCCACACACAGTGAACTTGCTCTCTGTAAATCCAGTGCCCAACAACAGAATTTTGAATTTACTTCATGCCCCAGCTAGGTGTCCACATTGGCAAGAAAATGCTACAGTGAACAAGCTCTGGGGACCATTTAAAGTGGTTACAAATATTTAGCCTTAAAATACTCAGGTACTTAAAAAAAAATGAACAAACAGTTACACTCCAATTACTGTGATGTCAGAATATTTGAAAACAAAAGCTACACCAGATGTGCCCGAGAGAAGAAAAGCTAGCAAGATGTTTTACCTGGTGCGAGATGCTGGCTACAGCTGGTGTTGAAATATTGACAACAGTCGAGGACGTGGAGACTGGGCTAGCATTGGTAGTTGATGCTGTAAAAAAACAAATAAAATCAAAGAATGACCATATGTTAATATATTTTAATAATGTAAAAGGGAGAAGACCTATTGTAACTGTGAAGCAGTCACATTTCTAGCCCTAACTACACTAACTAATAGCTTAAACAGAGTTTGCCAGGACAGTAGGGATGGAGCGTAATGTTTTAAAACTATGTTTTTATAATGTGCTATATAACACTTTTCATAAGGCCTTGCCCCCTCCATTCCTGCCACGCAAATAGTGCTAATTAGGTTAATGTGATGTGTTTTTCTATTAATTTGTATTTCAAATTTTGGGACAACAAAGACCAGAACACAAGATGTATTTGTCTGTATTTGTTACAACAGATAAAAACAAATAAATCAATACTAACAGTAAGAGATCTGAATAGCATTTAAATTAGTTCTGATAACATTTTTATCCAACATTGTGGATGAGGCCTTAAAATATTTGATCCCACTGAATTCAACAACTTCAGGAAATACTAAAACCCATTTAAATCATTACATATAAAGCTACCTCATACTGAGAAACTGTTGGTATTTAACCTTTGAAATCCATGTGAAATTACAAGTATTTTCTGGAACAGGTCCCTTGAGATCACTGTTGACAGCAGCTCTGTGAGACAGACCACTTACAGATACAATTTTACTAGTACAAATATTTTGAGATGCTTAGCAACCCGGTCTATAGAAGGGTTGCATTTTCAGCCAATTTTAGTTCACCTGAATCCCTGGAGGCCCTCTGTGCCTCCCTTTGGGGAGGGATGTAAATTAGCAGCATTTATGGTTTTCAAGTAGCAGAATAGTCAGATTAGACTGCGGCCTGCTTTGGGTCTCAGGAGGCCAAAACACAAAATGACAAGTCCAGTGAAATCCAAGTGTACACATTAGGTGCAATCAGAGAATGCCATTATGCCTCCGTCATGCCTGCCCAAACTCCATAAAAACAAAGGTTCCTGGTAGCACAGACTGTAAAGAAATCTTTGTGGAAACTGCACAGTATCACCCATCTTATCTCCTGCCATAAAAAAAATAATCATTTTCTACAGATACCACCTGTGGAGGAATCTCAGCATGAGACTGAAAAACAACCCAGGCTCTTCAATGGTTTGGTGTTTTCCCATCCTTGAGGGAGGCAGCGGAAGGGAAGAGCTCACACCAGGCCCTTCCTGGTCGTCGCATGCTGCCTCCTGGTGAGTCTAGATGCTGCCCTTTGAGGATTCCAGTCAGTTCCTTCAATTTAGTAGGAGTTGAAGCTCCCGAAAAGAAAAACTGATCCAAGATGTACCTTAGAGAAAAAGGAAAACCCCGGGGCAAGAAAAAAATACCCAAGAAAGGCAACTTTCCCTCAGAGAGGTGAGAGAGAGAACCCTCCAAGATGGCATCTCAAGAAATGCAGAATGACAGTGAGGTAATTCTCTCTTCTCTAAAGACACCATTGGTGCAGGAATGCCACCCTGAAGAGGAAGCCCCACAGAAAGAGGAGTTTAGCACATTTAGAAGATGCCCTTTCTCAAAACAACACACACAGCACAGCTGTCTGGAAACTCTCCTCACCAACCCAGAAGCAGAACTCTGCAATGGATCCCGTGGAAGCCTCAGAGGAATTTCATCACCTTGGGATCCCTGCACCCAGACAGAAGCCTTAGCAAGGAAAGGGGAACATGAGGAACAACTGCACAAGGTGATGTGTTCTTGGAGAAAGAGAACCAACTATTTATTGTGAGCCCCACTTGGGTGGAATCTCTCAATGGGAAACATCTAGTGCCCTGCCTCCGCTCCACCCACACTGGCAGAGCCATTGGCCCCATGCAGAATCCATTAAGACCTACAGAAACTCCTTTGAAATGTCTGTGGGGAGGAAAATCTGATTCCTGCTCCCAGTATGGAACTAGAAGAAGCCTGAGAGCCCACAGAGCGGGGGAGGGAGGGAATGGTTGGGGAAGCTGGTCAGGAAGCCAGGTAACCAGGACACCTGTAGGATCCTCTGGGGAAACCTGCAAAGCTTAAGAGCTCTGTAGGGCTACAGGAGTCACTAGGGTCAAAGTGAGGTGAAGTCCTTGTGCTGCTGCTGTGCCCCCACTGTTCATGGGTACCCACGGTGGCACATTGTAAATCCCTCACCTTTGTGAACAGTACAGAATGGTTTTGTAACACGAAGCATAACAGGATTTTCCATCTTTATCTCAAGCCCCAGGACTTGCCCTTGCCTACCCCTTGGGATCAAAGAAACATCTCAGATTTGAGCAAGAAATTGTCTATGGCCACAGGCCACACACACACTTTCCAAAGTTGAAATAAAAGATTTTTGAGGAGTTAGAGGGGAGGCCAAGATCAGGCTTACAATGGAAAGCAAGTCTCAGCCTTAACCAGGGACAGGAGGCTGCTGCTCCATTAAAATGGATCAAAGAAACTACAGAAAGGAAAAAAACATATTGGGATTCCGGTAGCAACACAGACATGCTTCCTCTTGTTACCCAACACCCTGAGGATATCGCCTTGTTATGGCCCACCTGTTTACACATTGTAATGTACCAGGTCTTTAACAGGGTATATTAAACTGTGTCAGCAATGCTCTTTCAGCAACCGCCTGACACAGGTTACCCTGAGGGTCAACAATTCTTCTGTGTGTGAGTGCCACAAATACAGCAACATCGTTCTGCCCTTCTGACATGCCAAAAGGAACTATCCCCAGGTCCCATGTTTAAATGGAGTCACAGAGGTTTGTGTCTTCCTTCTGTTATCCCACCCCCAGTTTTCTTTACTTCTCCCTCCTGTTTCCAGATTGCTTCTCCAGAACCTGCATCTTCACCGCCCCCCTCACTGCTCCATTCACCCCAGAATGCTCTACTTCAACCATCCTAAAATGCCCTATCCTGCTCTGCTTCACATGCTAATAACAGAGAGCAAAGCAAAGCAGAAGTGGAATTGACAAATTTTGTAAGTTTGACTTGGCTGCTTTGCTCCTACATGGAGTGGAGCAGTGAGGGAGGGAAGGAACAGTGGTTCCTTCCACATCTGACCAGAGTGGTTTGTGCCCCCTCTGGCATGCAGGGTGGGAGTTGCGGGTTCCCGGGTGTATACATTAGCAAAATTAGCTCAAAGAAAATCCATCTGCTTTTCAGCTCCAGGGGGAGCTTTTATGTTCATCTGAGTACACTACCCAAGCTTGCTAAGTCAGTAAGTGCGCCTGGACATTCACCAGAGTCCTGAGCCATGGCATTACTTAGGCAGAAGTCTGAAGACCAAAACATGCAGAACTTGGACTAAAATACATATCAACTGGGCCAATAATACAGCTTAACCACATACCACTGAATACATATTCTCCTGTAATTTCTGTCAGGTTTTTAGGGTTTGTTTTAAAGAGCATTTATTCTGAATAATTATGCTTAAGTAACATTAAGACTCTAGCTGCCACCTAATCTCCCTTAGCCCCTTTGACTCTGAAGTCAAACAAACAAACAAACAGTCTGTTCTACTAAAGTGCTTTTCCACTCCTCCAGCTCTGCCCTTGATCCTTTCCATTTTGGATTCTGCTTTTTCCACTACATTAATGGCCTCCCCAGGATCACCATTACTGGCTTTCTAATAGCTACATCTACAGGGATCTCCCTTGCCCTCATCTTTCTTGCTTTCTGTTACTTTTGACACAGCTGATCATGTTCTCTTCCAATCAGGGCCGGCTCCAGGCACCAGGCACCCAAGCTGGTGCTTGGGGCAGCACCTGGAGGGGGGCGGCGGGGAGCTCCGGCCGCCGGGGAGAGCGGGGCCACAGCCGGGCTCGCCGCCCTCCCCCCGGCGCTCTGGCCGCCCCCCC